GTCAAGCCCTAGCTAACAGTAAGGGTAGTTTTAGGGGTGTAGATGTTGCCAGGGTAACGAAAATATAATGAAACGCTTGGGGGAGGGGATTTACAGTAACGCGGCAGGGCTTTTAAATAAGGGGAAGACAATACAGAATTACTGAAGCTAAATAAAAATTGCTTAATTATTTCAGATTTGCCCTTGCATATTTTCATTCATACATCTAGAAAATATTGGCTTACAAGTTCTGAAATAGTTTTAAATAAAGAAAAAATAGTTATTATAATTTAAGAGTAGAAATTTAAATTCTAGATAAAAGCACATTTTACGAATAAATAGCATGAACAACTGGAATATTTGTCTTTGGACTGTAATTTTGATTCGAATTGAGTTATAAATTTTTGATTTAAATTAAGCCATGCACAAAAGCAGAATACCTTGAGGGTTATAACTTGAGAGTTAATAACCTTAATTCCTTTAAACAAATGTTGTGCCTTTTGAGCAGGATATTTCAAAGGCATTTGTACAAGTTCTTAAGATTATGATTTCTTTCAAATGAAATTCTGCGCGAAAGTGAAATAGCTCGGGGGTTGTAACCTTTTCTTATTTAAATTCTTTAATAAATGCTTTACATTTTTTGATTGTATAATTTTTAGCGTGCATTTTTATTATTAATGTTACAGTTTATTGTGAATTATAGCTTTTTATACAAATTTAGCACTTAATAATCTTAGACAAACGGTAGAATCGAATGAGTGCCGTTAATAACATTATTTTGGTAGCTAACGTAAGGATAATGACATGAGTTAGCAATAATATCGATGAAAAAAATTGTGGGCTTATTTTCCTGTAATATTTCGAAAGCATTGGTAGCTTTTTATGTTAGTAACTTGTAATATCTTGAGGGCGATTGTGTGAGTTTGCAAGATTAAAATTTTATGTAATTGAATGATGTAAGAAAGGAGAGAAAAGCTTGATAAGTGGAGAGTTAATAACTTTAATTTTGTAGCTTTTGAAGATATATAATTAAGAGAGTTAGAAAGGTTACAATTTTATGGAAATTAAATCATACACAAAAGGGGAATAACGGACGACTTGAGAGTTATTAACTTAAACTTCGACAAAACAAATTTTGCCGCCTTTGAACATGTAATATTTGGATTTTAAGAATAAAAATTGATATATTTCACCTCATGGCTCGTTTATTTTCGATGTTAATCAAGATTTTGTTGTTTTCTTATTGTTTCTGGTTCTTTGATATAGGGATTTATATGTATTTACAAAATTATACTTTTTAAATAGAAGACACTTAAAGAGTTATCTATAACCCGGGAGAACGTATTTGCAGTTAATATAAAAACTTTAACAGGCTTATACTTTATCAAACTGTACTTGCCGAAGTAAAATTTTATATTCTATCAGAATATGTCTCATTTTATATTAATATGTTAACAGTTTTGAGCAAGAGCCCGGGAGAGACACGGGTAGTTTTGTGGATTTTGTCTTAAAGTTGATAAAACAATACGAGTATTTGTACAGTTGAAAAAAATATTAGTAACGGTTTAAAAAAGTCCAAACTATATCTGTCGTATGTAAAATTTTATATTCTATCAGAATAGGTTTCATTTGATTTTAATATGTTAACAGTTTTGATTAAGAGGCCGGAGAGAGACACGGGTAGTTTTGTGGATTTTGTCTTAAAGTTGATAAAACAATACGAGTATTTCTACCGTTGAAAAAAATATTAGTAACAGTTTAAAAAAGTCCAAACTGTATCTGCCGTATGTAAAATTTTATGTTCTATCAGAATATGTCTCATTTGATTTTAATATATTAACAGTTTTGATTAAGAGGCCGGAGAGAGACACGGGTAGTTTTGTGAATTTTGTCTTAAAGTTGATAAAACAATACGAGTATTTGTACCGTTGAAAAAATATTAGTAACGGTCTAAATAAGTCCAAACTGTATCTGTCATATGTTAAATTTTATATTCTATCAGAATACGTCTCATTTTATATTAATATGTTAACAGTTTTGAGCAAGAGCCCGGGAGAGACACGGGTAGTTTTGTGGATTTTGTCTTAAAGTTGATAAAACAATACAAGTATTTCTACCGTTGAAAAAATATTAGTAACGGTCTAAATAAGTCCAAACTGTATTCGTCATATAAAATTTTATATTCTATCAGAATATGTCTCATTTTATATTAATATGTTAACAGTTTTGAGCAAGAGCCCGGAGAGACACGGGTAGTTTTGTGGATTTTGTCTTAAAGTTGATAAAACAATACAAGTATTTCTAGTTGAAAAAATATTAGTAACGGTCTAAATAAGTCCAAACTGTATCTGTCATATGTAAAATTTTATATTCTATCAGAATATGTCTCATTTTGTATTAATATGTTAACAGTTTTGAGCAAGAGCCCGAGAGAGACACGGGGTAGTTTTGTGGATTTTGTCTTAAAGTTGATAAAACAATACAAGTATTTCTACCGTTGAAAAAAATTATTAAACGGTCAAATAAGTCCAAACTGTATCTGTCATATGTAAAATTTTATATTCTATCAGAATATGTCTCATTTTATATTAATATGTTAACAGTTTTGAGCAAGAGCCCGGGAGAGACACGGGTAGTTTTGTGGATTTTGTCTTAAAGTTGATAAAACAATACAAGTATTTCTACCGTTGAAAAAAATATTAGTAACGGTCTAAATAAGTCCAAACTGTATCTGTCATATGTAAAATTTTATATTCTATCAGAATATGTCTCATTTTATATTAATATGTTAACAGTTTTGAGCAAGAGCCCGGGAGAGACACGGGTAGTTTTGTGGATTTTGTCTTAAAGTTGATAAAACAATACAAGTATTTCTACCGTTGAAAAAAATATTAGTAACGGTCTAAATAAGTCCAAACTGTATCTGTCATATGTAAAATTTTATATTCTATCAGAATATGTCTCATTTTATATTAATATGTTAACAGTTTTGAGCAAGAGCCCGGGAGAGACACGGGTAGTTTTGTGGATTTTGTCTTAAAGTTGATAAAACAATACGAGTATTTGTACCGTTGAAAAAATATTAGTAACGGTCTAAATAAGTCCAAACTGTATCTGTCATATGTTAAATTTTATATTCTATCAGAATACGTCTCATTTTATATTAATATGTTAACAGTTTTGAGCAAGAGCCAGGGAGAGACACGGGTAGTTTTGTGGATTTTGTCTTAAAGTTGATAAAACAATACAAGTATTTCTACCGTTGAAAAAAATATTAGTAACGGTTTAAAAAGTCCAAACTATATCTGTCGTATGTAAAATTTTATATTCTATCAGAATATGACTCATTTTATATTAATGTGTTAACAGTTTTGAGCAAGAGCCCGGGAGAGACACGGGTAGTTTTGTGGATTTTGTCTTAAAGTTGATAAAACAATACGAGTATTTCTACCGTTGAAAAAAATATTAGTAACGGTCTAAATAAGTCCAAACTGTATCTGTCATATGTTAAATTTTATATTCTATCAGAATACGTCTCATTTTATATTAATATGTTAACAGTTTTGAGCAAGAGCCCGGGAGAGACACGGGTAGTTTTGTGAATTTTGTCTTAAAGTTGATAAAACAATACGAGTATTTGTACCGTTGAAAAAATATTAGTAACGGTCTAAATAAGTCCAAACTGTATCTGTCATATGTTAAATTTTATTTTCTATCAGAATATGTCTCATTTTATTTTAATATGTTACCAGTTTTGAGCAAGAGCTAGGGAGAGACACGGGTAGTTTTGTGGATTTTGTCTTAAAGTTGATAAAAAGAATACGAGTATTTCTACCGTTGAAAAAAAATATTAGTAACGGTCTTAAATAAGTCCAAACTGTATCTGTCATATGTAAAATTTTATATTCTATCAGAATATGTCTCATTTTACATTAATCTGTTAACAGTTTTGAGGGAGACACGGAGAGACACGGGTAGTGATTTTGTCGTAAAGTTGATAAACAATACGAGTATTTGTACCGTTGAAAAAATATTAGTAACGGTCTAAATAAGTCCAAACTGTATCTGTCATATGTTAAATTTTATTTTCTATCAGAATATGTCTCATTTTATTTTAATATGTTACCAGTTTTGAGCAAGAGCTAGGGAGAGATACGGGTAGTTTTGTGGATTTTGTCGTAAAGTTGATAAAAGAATACGAGTATTTCTACCGTTGAAAAAAATATTAGTAACGGTCTAAATAAGTCCAAGCTGTATCTGTCATATGTAAAACTTTATATTCTATTAGAATATGTCTCATTTTACATTAATCTGTTAACAGTTTTGAGGGAGAGACACGGATAGTCTCGCGGATTTTGTCTTAAAGTTGATAAAACAATACGAGTATTTGTACCGTTGAAAAAATATTAGTAACGGTCTAAATAAGTCCAAACTGTATCTGTCATATGTTAAATTTTATTTTCTATCAGAATATGTCTCATTTTATTTTAATATGTTACCAGTTTTGAGCAAGAGCTAGGGAGAGATACGGGTAGTTTTGTGGATTTTGTCGTAAAGTTGATAAAAGAATACGAGTATTTCTACCGTTGAAAAAAATATTAGTAACGGTCTAAATAAGTCCAAGCTGTATCTGTCATATGTAAAACTTTATATTCTATTAGAATATGTCTCATTTTACATTAATCTGTTAACAGTTTTGAGGGAGAGACACGGATAGTCTCGCGGATTCTGTCTTAAACTTGATAAAACAGTACGAGTTTTTCTACTATCGAAAAAAATCTAAAATGATGAAAATATTTGCAAGGTTTAGAGAAAAATTATCGGTGACAATAAATGGTTCGAAGCTGTGGCGAATGGGGGAATCTACCCCCGCCTTGCATGTGCAGAAGGAGCCGCGCCACTCGGGGGTGGCAGGAGGGGGCGGCAAACAGGAGGGGGCGGCTGAGGTGGGGTGTGGGACGGGGGCCAGCCACCCCAGCGGGTCGCGGGCGCCGGGTGCCGCAGTATTGGGTGGGTCAGACAACGCAACGATCCCGTACAGGGCCACACGGCCCTGGATGCACCCTTTATGCTACTTAGCCGCATTCCCTACGCATCTAATTGATTCGTCCTCAATAATTCCGTTTGTTTGTGCCGTTTGTGACAAGAAGCACCGAGTTGTGCACGAGATTGGTGGAAAAAGCTCGGGCCCATGGATAAACAGCACGCTTTTCGCCTGGTGAGTGATTTACCGATACTACGTGGGCAGAACGAGTACGTTTCGTTAGATGACAGTCTATTATAGTCCGGGGTGCAATACTACCCTGCGCCTACAACTTCTTCGCTACATATTTCTATATTTCTTAGACCAATTCTTGCTTCTTCAAAGTTTTGATTATGTATATAGTTATCTGTCAAACTATTAATAAAATTGAAAATAATTTACTGACAAACTAGAGAGCATTCACGATGTCTGAATCTTGCCTTAAATTAAACTAATAACACTACATTAATTCTTTTCATTATATTAATAAAAATTATATGTTGTAATTTACACGACAAAGGAAAAAAAAACATATACTGGTTATTATACGACTAACAATAGTAAAAAAAATAAATAAACTACATAATATATAAATATAAAAATCAATTGGGACAGTTAAAAAGTAAGATAATACATTTTTTGCCTACTAGGATGTTAAAATTTATTTTAAGTCTTTTTCTTGATACATATATCTCTAGAAACAATCTGTTTTTATAATTATGTTCAAATTGTAGAACTGATACCTTTGAGAAGTTGAACGTTTGTTCTGTTCTTAGACAGACTGTTTTTACAATCACTTTTATGTAGTGCCTTAGTGCCTTCGTTTTAGCCACTAAGATATCGTAGTTCATAAGTTATTACGGGAACTAAATGTTGTAGATGGGTATTTCGCCACTGCAGAAAATCTACAAAATAAAATAGTTATTTTTTGTAAACACTCCTGGCGGTAATCCAACGGAGACCAGCTTGTCAGCAGTGATTTACTAAAAACAAATTTGCTTAACGGACAAAAAAAATTCAGACAACCCACAGAGTAGATTTTCACAATGTAAAAATTATTATGAAAGAAGCGATAGCCTCTGAACGAAAAATAAAATTTTATTTTGTAGTTTTTCTTACAGTGCGGCGAAATACCCACAGGACTTTTTTGAAGGAACTAAATGTTCCTTAAAATGCTTCCTCAGGAAGTGACAGCCCTTGCAAGGGTAGATAAAAATATATTTTGTTTATTTTTAAGAAAATTAGAAAGCCATTTTACTTGAAATTTGATATTGTTCCACATTTTAAAGCCAAAGTAAATGTCTACAGTGTAAAATTCCATATGAGTTCTGTAAGGGTACTTTTCATTAAGGTAGACACACAAAACTTTTTTTCTTACACGGTACAGTAATAAAAACGCAACAAGCACAATAAAATTTACTCCGTATTATTTTTTTGGTTTATTTTAAATAAGTTTAAGGGTACCTAATATGTTTCTAAGTATATCCTACTGCTTGGTTAATCTTAAATAATATATTATATACGTTACTCTTCTTTTTTTTTCAGAAACTGTACGTTTCATAGTATAAGGGACGTTGAGTGTTCTAGAACATGGAGGTGGCAATGCCCATGACTGGCAGTGCAATAGACTGCTACGAAGACATGTTTAAAGAAATCACCAGAAAGTTGTACGGTGAGGATGGGCTTCCAGACCTGACCACAACTGAAAGATTACCGTCTACGGGAACCGATCGTGGACTGACCCCTATCGACTACGAGGTGGAGAACCCAATTTTGAAACCCGAAGAGCATTTGACAGCCTTCGGACTGGCAGCCCTCATGCAAAATGGGTTCTCGGCTAGTGGGATACTGAACAGCACGTTTCCCAGTCACAAAAGTGCAATCGGGTTAAGCCTTAATGCTCCTCTTTTAGAAGACAAATGGTTAAGCAGCGAGGAGTCCTTGCAATGGACCCAATCAAAAATAGCTACGTACAATCCATCACAAAAACTATTTAGATGTTCCGAATGCGAATCGGTAGGCTACCTTCACCGAGTCGCCGAGCATTGGTTAGGAACGCATTCGAATTTAAGAGCTTTCCATTGTCCTCAATGTTCGTACGAGAGTGCTTGGGCTAGATGTGTTAGAATACATTTAGGTAGACAGCATAACATCAATATCGACGAGTCATGCGAGGCTTTAACCAAAGACAACCCTGTCCTGCAAGACATTATAAAATATCTTCAAAGGCACAAAAATAAAATTGATGCTGGAAACGGTGGCAAAGCTGGTTCAACCAACTCCTCGAATCATACAGTGTCCTCTGAAGAATATCATAATTTAGCTTCTACAAGTGCGATTCCTGGAAACATCTCCCAGGGATCTAGTGCGTCTAATTCTGAAGCGCCGTTATCATCAAATAAAAGGTATAGTTGTTCTTATTGTCCTTATGCTACAGATAGAAGAGATTTATTTACCAGGCATGAGAACATCCACCGCGAAGAGAAACCTTTCCAATGCTACGTCTGCCAGAAGCAATTCAACCGAGCCGATCACGTTAAGAAGCATTTTTTAAGGATGCACCGTGACCATCCCTACGATTTGAACAGGATCCGAAGACATCCTCCTAAAAATGCCTCCGGGATGTCCTACTATCAGAAATATAACTCCACTTCCCCAGCCGTACCCCCAGAGCCAATGAACTCTTTGTCAACTATAAGTTCGCTATCAATCCCCGGATTGAATGGTGTTTCTAGAAGCCCAACAATATCCGGGGTTCGGCCGGCAGATGCTAAAACTCTGGGCAAATCAAATTTAAGTTCGAAGACTAGTAAAAAGAAAGGAGAGAAAAGATTTACTTGTTGTTATTGCTCCTGGTCTGGAGTAGACAACTGGTGTTTAAAGAGGCATATGAATACACATTTAAAGCCATTTGTCTGTGGTCTCTGTGACTACAAGGCAGCAAGGTCAGAAAGACTGTCTACTCACGTGCTTAAAGTGCACAATAAAAGAGCTTGTGCAAAATGCAATTTCTTAGCGGATGACTTGCCACAACTGACTGCTCATCAACAAGAACAACAGTAAGCTGTTCAATATTTATGTTGCAAGGTTATGGAGTAATTCAAATACTTTCTGACACACTCAATACAGTGTTTGAGTTACTCTAAAATCGTTACAGTAAGGCATATTATAGTTTTATTATTTTCAGTCCTTTGGAAAGTAGAAATAGAGCTTTGAATGGAACATCAAGCACAAACACAGGTGGAAATATTCTCAGGACAAATGCTTTTAATACATCTACTACACTTTCTGCTACAGTTACGTCTTCGATGGCAACTACTAACACGAACAACAGTAATCCTCTTTGTGGGTAAGTGTTTTACGGATAAATTATTTATAAATCGATTACAGAAGCTTTCTTTAGTCAGGCTCCGAGCATTTTGAAAAACAGCGAGCTGACAGCCGCCGCAGCACAAATCCTACAGCACAACCGCTTCCTTCACAACGAAGTAAAGTCCTGGAAGAGCCAGCTTCCCAAGCAGCACGGGGCAGCTCGACTCTTCAACTACATGGAAGCCAGCGATGGTTCCGAGCCCGAATCCGACTCGCCTCCAAGGAGTAGCACGGCGGAGGACATGTCCAACCGAATCAACTTGACCCACCGAATCCAGTCGGATTTTCTTGAAGCGGGAGGTGTGGAAACCAGTCAACCGGACGCAGAAGAAGAAGCAGGAGAGGAAACAGAGCTTCCCTTGTTCGTCTGCCAGACGTGCGGCTGCGAGTTCGAGGACGATTTGTCTTTGGAAACGCATCAGTTTACCCACCGTCACGTCACCACATCTCCCGCAAAAAGCGAGGACGCAAAGGAGAACGTTGACCCTCACCGCAAGTACTGTTGCAAGCTCTGCAACGCTTCATTCGAAAGACAGAACAGCATTATGGTGCACATGGCCGTTCACACAAGCTTGACAGCTAAATCTGTTGTGCAGCCAGTGCCTCCGAGCACTGGCTCCAACAAAAGAAGTAGGAAACAAAGCAAACCGAAGAAGGTAGTTGTTCCATATTGGGATTCGGATGAAGTCGAGGTCCTGAGGCACCTCAACAGTAAACTGAGAAAGTGGAAAGGGTTCTTAACTTCTGAGGCACCACTCAACACCAGCAAGTTAGTCGATAAGTACATGGCTCAGCTGGTGACACGAAAAGGGCTGATCTGTAGGATCTGTAAGCATAATGGGGTGAGTCGGTATCACACGAAAACATCTCTGGCCCTTCATAATTACTGGAAGCATTCCAGGAAAAGGTTTCGATGTGAACACTGTAACATGACTTTTAAACATCGATATCAAACCATTTTACACTCTAGCAGAGTTCATACTGAACAGAGCAGTTTGAAACCAACAAGTTCTTCGGGGAACGTGGCAGTTATAATGCCACAAATCAAGGAGGCTACGCATTTGTCTTTGGACAGTGTGTCTGGCACTGACATCAATTCGTTTACAAACTTTTTTAATACTTCACATAACGTTGGCGTACCTGATGCAAATATGTCAAATGCCCATAAATTGGGGATGTCATTTTTCGACCACTCATTTATCCACAATAATGTTGTTAATAACCACATGCCTATTATTATTCCAACATTTCAACCAAATTAACAAACATGAATTCACTTTAAAATATTTTGCAGTTAAGAACTAATAATAGTCGCTCGACAAAGTTAAATTCTTTTATATAATTATTAGTAAGTCTTTTGACCTGACAATATCAATTTTTTTTTATCTCTAGAGCTGATAGTTAATGATTTTTGAACAAAATACATTTTGCCAATTAATCGACTATTGTTAAGTTCTTGTTACTCTATGTTTAGTGTATTTGGTCTGTTTTTTTTTAAATATTTTTTTGAGAACTACTCCTTTTATTTGATTATTTAATATGTTTTGGCCATTTATCACTTCAGTACTACAACTACAAGTATTCAAATGAAGACAAAGTTGTTTCAAAAAACTGTAAAAAAATAATCGATCTAAAAGTGACCTTCCAAAATGAAATTTTGAATAGAGAGTTCTGTAGAATGGTTGTGTTACCGAATGTTTAAATTTTATTTTAATATTGTAGCATACTAAAAGGGTACTTAAATGTTCGGTGATGCAAAGAATCATAGTTTTTATAAAATATACGATAAATTAGCCATAAATATGTTTAGAATTTTTTGGTGCAATATGTTCGAATCTTTTCCTTGTTTTCTTGTTATATGAATGTGAATTATTTAAATATTTTAGTTTCTGTATATACGTCCATATTTACAAAATAACTCAAAGTACTAAATATCATTGTTGTTTTTTCTTCATTTTTTTATTTACAGAATACATGTGTTATTTTTTTAACCTTGCGTTTTTGGTGTTATTGTTTTTACTAGTATTTCTGTTGAACCAGTTTGTGTTTATAATTGATATGTGTTTTTGCATTTATAAAATATATGCTGATTAAATGTCTATATTTGTATTATTTATCATTTAATGATCCATTTTTAATGTTATATTAAAAATACAATGGTGTCATAAGTTTTAAATGCAAGTTTTAATAAAGTATATCATCAGGAATTAAATTCATCTGTAGAAAAAATATGTAATAAAATGTAATGGGTCTTAAAAAGCCTTCAAAATCACTTAGTTGAAGGACAATTGAAAATAAGTGCAATAAAACAATATATTTGTTTGTTCATATTCAATTTAATTCATTAATTTCACTAAAACAACCTTAACATTGAAATTATCAGTTAAAATTAAAACTTTGTTTCTTTCATATAATTTTACCTACGGTTTTATAATAAATTTATACCTAAATTACCAAAAATATGATAGAGAAAAGAAATATTAAAAACTTAATATATGTCAAGTTATAAACCAATAATATCTAGTGAGTTACACTACTTTCTATTGCAATGTATTCTTATTGCACAATTAAGCTTTAAACAAAAATAAAATACAAAAATATATTTGTATACGAATATACATTTTTTTAATAAATTTTTCATAATAAAGGTGTTGAACTAAGCTGTACCTTCCTAACTTGTTTAGATAAACTGTCAACAGACTGATAGCAATTTCTTAAAAGAATATGGTAAATAATATGTTTTGGGTACAAAATAAAAAATAGGGAACCAACTAGTAACACTATTTTTTACAGACTTTTAACATACATAGCTCTAACACAGCAGTGACTCTATTCTACTTCAGCTGTTGCTTACTCTAATTAATGGGTAAAATTAACAATGGCCAAATAGCATAAGTTTCTCTAGTAATACTGAAGATTTATATTTATATAAATTACATTATTTATTGCCTTTTTTGTAGTATAGTATAACTATAATATATAATTCATAGGGGATTCAAGCTTCCTAGATTTGTTTTTATATTAGATTGAGTTATACATATTTTACGTTATGTATATTTTAATTAATCTATTAATTCAAAATGTAAGGGATCAAAAATATTAATAAATAAATATAGTTACAGTTTGCTTTATTTGATGAATTTCTATTATACTTTCCCATGTGTTTTAATTTTTTATACTTTTTTTAACTTTATTTTTAAAATTTAGTGTTGTGTTTTGCTCCAAATAATATAAGTAATTAATTCAAATTATGTGTATTTTAAAATGGAAGCACTAAAAGCCTTGTTTACGAATTTGTTCCAAGTTTTTGGCACCCGCATATACCTTCAGCGCAACTTCTACATACAGATATTCCTCTAAGTCATATGGACATAATTATTTTTCAACTACAATATAATATTTCAACAATCCTTAAATTTAATTGACCACGAGTAGATTATGGAGATTTCAGTTTTATTCGAAATTTTGAGGCTGTGATTTATCTACAAAGATCCAGAAAAAAAATGCCTGGCAAGAAAAAGAATCAGTTCTGGGGGGTTATCACAAGGTGTATTCCAGTTGTGTCATGTTACTATTTTTTGCTATAGAAATATATTATTCTATTGGGGTACTTTAGGGGACACATCACAAAGGGGTTTAACAAGTCTATATATTTCTCTAATTTGGACTATTCTAAATATACTTTCTTTTTCTTTTGTAGGGTCTTAGAAAATATCTGGTACATCTGCAAATTGCCGCTGCCAGTAGTTGCCATTGTATATCCAATCTTCTTGGTTAGTATATGGGTTGATCTCGTGGCGAAACCATCTGCGGAAAATCGTATTTAAGTTAATAGTTCCTATAATTTAAACTAGAGAATACCTTGGTGTCCATTGAATAGTGTTCTTGTGCTTCCTGCTCTTGTTTGCATCTCTTTGCTTCTCTTCCAAACGAGTTTTTTCTAGAGCAGCACCGTCAATGTCTCCTTGTTCCAGTTTTCTGATGTCAGGCCTCAACCTAGAATCCGTAGGGCACAATGTTTGATTCATTCCTTGTTCAAGCTCGTTTAAGGACATGGCAAATTCTGTGAATTGGTAGTACTAAAAACAAGGTAGGTACTTATTGAGATGTTTTGAAATTTTATATAAAGATGCTTACATCACCGCTTTGGAGTGGTCTTGGATTCACCTTCCAGATCTTTATAGAATTTGGAATATCAATGAGGAAATTTGAATCTCCTTTTGGTACATCTTCCAGTTCGTCTTCGTCAGTCTAAATATTTGATTATATGAAAGAAATAAATTTGAGAACTTGGATTTTACCTCTTGGGTAGAATTCTGCGATCTAAACGTGGACACTTTCAAGCTGTTGAACTTTTGGAGCATTTTCTTGGACGTGTGAGATGGCGAGTCGTTCGGACTCTTACTCTTCGTATCGCTGTTTTTGAATTTTGCAGCATTTTCTCGGACATACTCTTGATACGACTGATAATCCGTGCATTTAATGAACTCAGTCCATTTTCCGTATACATAATAGAGCTTTTGTTTTCTACGAATCGTTTAATTAATTTTTTGAATTAAATTGATTTATCAGAACAATTGTTAGCTTACGATTTATCTGTGATGTATCCCTCGACCCTGTGGAGGTCCCTAGAGCTACCACCTGCCTGTTTAAACGTTAAATGGGCTCGATATCCTAGAGAATGATTTATAATTTCCATTGTTCCACATTGCTCCATCCACATCTTCCCCATTATTATGTTATGTACACAGCAAGTGACGTTGGTCCATGTATATGCTTCATTTCGCCTAAAAAAATAAATAATACAAAATACTTAAACAACACTATCCTAATTCTTCTCACTTAGGAAATTCCACAGTGACGGTGCCTTTAGGTTGTATTTCGACACTTTTACCCCAAAATTTCAGTTTCGGATGAATGGATCCATGAAAAACCCAATCGGCACTTTCAGCATGAAATGCTGAGACTGGAGGGTGATGACTGACTTGTTCACAGATTATTTTGAAGTGTTCTCTTTCCAATTCGTATGTTTCACCAAGTAATGGATTGAAAGGTTTGCCAAGACGTTCCCAGTTACATGCTAATGCACTTACAGCAAATCCTGCAGAGAAATTAAATGATTTGATGGGTTATTGGTGCTGTTTTGAACTTACCTATAACGTATTGAAGTCTGCTAATGGGATCTTCCTGCTGAGATGCGATGTTCAACAATTGTGCGTACTCCATGTATTCTGCCATCCTCTGTAGGAAGCTTAGAGGCTCATTAAACACCACAGGCATGGTTATTTTGCTTAGTTCTTTGCCAATACAATTTTTTAGAACTGCCCAGATGTTGTAATCACTCTGATACATAGGCACTGGCAACACAAGTCTAGAATTATATTCCATAGGTTTATAAATTGACTTATTGTTATTTTTATCTACATACCGATGTTTCTTCTTCTCTTCTTCCATTCTGTACTATTGTACGACAACCCACTGCAAATATAACAATACTATACATCTACATATACCTAATTATAAAGAGCTGTTTGATAGAAAAAATAACTTTGGATACTCCCTATACTGACAATGGACGACAAGGCCATTTTATAGAAAGCATAATCAGAACTGTATTTTATACATTACGCAACAGTCTGTTACCAAAGCCCGTACTAAATCCAGTTAGGGCATATTCACCTTTATCGATTGTATCCAGAATTACAACAGAAGAGAACTTACCTTAGAGTTAGGCCATTATATGAAAATTCAATCTACAGGATGATACTAAATCGAAGCTTACTGTTGTTAGTCAACGTGGCCATTTGTTTTGAAGGCAAAACAGGGCGATATTCATGTTGAAAAAAACAGAAGCGATAGGGTTAGCAAAAAGCAGTTCGATTTTCTTGGGCTTGCGCACATTTTAATAAGGCCAAACAATAAAAAAACCACCAAAATTATTATTTCCATCAAATTAAATAATGTAACTTATTTAAATTAATCTGAGTGTCTTCTAATTTAGTAATAGTATTAAAATCTACTGGGTGATCAAATAATATAAACACAAGGGTTTATCAAAAATCTTTTAAAATGTTGAAAGCAATATAATTTTTTGATAATTGACGTCTCTATTCTAGTCTCAAATCGTGAAAAAATATTATTGATCATCAATTCAAAGACCACTGTGACGCCTTTTTATTCGGCTTAACGCTCATACAGGGAATTCAAAATAGTCCTTTTTGTGAAAAATAATTAAATTCTTTATATTTTTTAAGAATTTGTAGTTATTTCATAAATTTATATTCAGATTTTAGAATTTAGTTAAAATACTACATATTATTTTGAGACATCCTGTATACATATAAATAATTTTTATTTATGTTGTCACTATGATATAACTATATAAACATTTATTTTTATTTAATCAAAATATCAACTGCATTTGACAAAAATATATATAACATATTTTTTACTCGAATTTTGACCAAAAAATTCTCACCTTAATAAAACCTAATTGTGAGATCTTTGGACACTATTGTACTAAATAATAATTTTAGATTCTATAAAATACAACTGTTAATATGGAAAGAGTCGTCTCATAAAACAATAAACAAGAACTAATCAGAATTTGTTAGTTTAAACAAGCGGTCTAAGAGATAAGCGGCCAGTATCATTTGATTTGACCACAGTGAAGTATGAACGACTGAATTGAAATTATGGAAGATAAAAGCAGGCTCTCTGTTCAAAATATTTTGCTTTTTTTCTGCCTTTTCGGGTTTTTGAGTTTGAGTTTTATAACATGCTTCAATACCATGAGATTGCATCGTTTGGAGAAGGAAGTAAAGGACCTCAAAGAAACAATGGTACGTATTAAAAACGCTCTGTTTCTCAGTTCTTGTATTTATTAAAATAAGTTGTTTTGTTCAATTCCGAACTTACTATTTTTAGAAAACTTATTAATTATTGCTTTAATCACATAGTTTAAATTGTGATAAGTGGATTCAGAGAGAACTCGCACAAATTAAAGGAATCTCAAAAAGCTAATTATATTTTTAGTTTAAATAAACTTGTTTTAAATATTTATTTTCAATTCTAGGCTGTAATGACTATGGATTATAGCAGGATATCCCCTCCAAGAACTAAACGGGATATTGAATCTACTGAAGATGTAGAAAATCTTAATGTGCATAAACCTTTGATTTTTGATAACAAAAGGTATCCTAATTTAAAAGGATTATCTGTCACGTATATGCCTGCTCGTAAATCCTTTATTGGCAGGTATAACAACAGCCTTTTATTGTTTTTATATATAGTTTTATTTAATTTTTTTCAGTTATCCTTTAAATAATCCGGATAGGATTCCAAACCATTCAGTAACCTTAAAGCCCTCAGTTCAGGTTAGTACATCTAAAGTACATTTTGACCATTATGTTAAGAGGTCCTTTTTTAAATCTGGCGATTCAGGCATGTACGATTCAAGCGTAAGTTTCTATAAATGCGCCTTTATTGTATTAGATAATTTTAATTAGTTTAAAATATTTTATTTAGGAAAATACGGCAGGTCCAGACTATACAGTGTTAAACGATGGGTATGCTGGAACTAGAAAACGTAACAGACAAAGACTGGAGACTCTGGATGAAAAACACCCGAGGACAGGCAGAATCAAACCACTACCAACGATACATTTCAGTGGTGATACTTCGAGATACGTGTACGGAACACACGAAAATTTTAACGGTACCTATATCCTTGTTATATCTTTTTAAGGTAAATTAATTATATTATTTGTTGTTCCAAATAGGCAACGGGCATTTAAGGCACCTTCAAAGAACTTTTATAGATTGGAAGGCTAATAATTGGGTAGAAAAAACAGGAATGTCTAGTCATTTTAATCTGGAAAATGGACATTTGACTATAAGAGAGCCAGGAATTTATTTCATTTACGCCCAGGTATAGTATTTTTGATTAATTTTTGAAACAAAATACGAAAAATGTGAAAGTTCTTTACGCGCGCTGTGAGGAAAAATTCAAGGCCGTGACACACAAGGTAGCGAGACGAATAGCGGCAAGGACGGCTTAGAAATACGCGTATTTATCAAAAATATTGAAATTTTAGTTGTTTTTTTTATTATACACGTATAAAACTATTTGTTACATCCAAAAACTATTTATTTCAAAAATATATTTTTTTTAATTTATTACTTTTTCAACATTTCAAACTAAACCTTTTCAAATATGTCATTCAAATCCTTCAATTTAATAGCTGTTAATAAGAAGTTTCATTTCAAACATACGCACATAGTGCACACACAATTTTTTAATTTAACACCAGTAAATAGTGTAGGTATATGTTACGGTTAAGGTCCGATATCCGGTTAATATCGACATTACCCGGTTAATCTCGTGAATAACACAAAACAAAACAACCAAAAACAAAACCAAACCCAAACATTAACCTGTTAATGTCGACATTAACCGGACATCGGACTTTAACCGTAACATATATATTTAATAATAATATAAAAATATAATAAATAATATAATGTAATATCTGACAATTAAAAAATAAAATAAATTATTTTCAGATCTATTATCTGGATGAACACGACCAAATCGGTTACAGGGTGTACAAAAATGACGATACAATACTCCAGTGTACAGTTTTCTCAAACACTAGCAGAAGAACGATGAAAGGAAATACGTGTTATACGGCTGGAGCTGAATATCTTGCAGAAAATGACAAAATCAGTCTCGGAGACTTATCTGATGGTCGTTATTCTTTATTCGAACCTGGAAAATCATTTTTCGGAGTGATAAAATTGGGAGATGTCAGAGCTAGAGTGTAAATAAACCCTCCATTTGCAGTATTTAAAGAGAGATAATTGTATTAAGTTATTTATTTGTGATTCACTTCTTTTGATAAACATCTTTACGAAATGTTGTTCGTAATCACTTGTTTATCCGCAAGGGTCATTTCGGTTTCCTGTATTTATCTAAGTAGGCTTGGCTAATTGGCGCAAATAAGTGTTTTATTGCTTCTAATAAGTTTCTGGAATACATCAGTGACTAATTGATAAAGTTCTGTAATGTACAGTACACAAGAAAGTTAAAAGTTTATATTTTCGGAAATACATTTTTTTAATTAAATTGTTATCGGTTTTTTATTTTATCCTATTTTCCATACATTTATAGTAGTTTTTTTAGTGTAATTTTATTTATCATCACATAGCTTATTCCAATTATGGTGTAGCCTCCTTCACATATTTTCATCTGCTCTCTGGGCCCATTGTTATCTATTGTTGGCTATGCAGGCCCAAGTTATCCCCGCTAATTTCTTAATATCATGGTTCCATCTCAAGCTCGGGCTTCTTCTAGGTCTCTAAATTCCTTATCGGTACCATGCTGTAATTTTTGTGATTTACATCTATTACCGAGACTTTTGTCGTATCCACTCTATTCTTTTACGGTCTCTTTTGGTTATTCCCAGCATACTTCATTCCATTGAGCGTTGTGTGACCTGCAGTAATTTTATTAACTCTATTTATGTAGCAATAGGTAAGCAATATTGAAATAAAAAACTTAAAGTCTTACATTTAAAATATATTGAAAGATTAAGTATCTATTACAGTCCTTTCCATAATTTTTTCTTTGAGTTAGAAATTTGATATCTGATACGATTTTGGAGAAAAGAACGTCAAGAGTCCCTGTATGAGATGATAAACTGCTTGGATTGATACATATTATTGTCGTACATGTCATTAATCTGATCTTTCTGAAATTCAACGGCACAGTGTGCACAGTTAACGTAATTTACGATATATATGCATATAATTTTCTTTTTTTTGTCCTATATGATTACATTAATTTTACCATTAAATTGTATATTTTTTGTTATATTTCAAACATAAACACCAACCAAGAAGATTTTTTTATAGTATTTTTTTTAAATTCATTTAATAAGTAACAACAATTTTAAGATAATACTTGCTCAAGCAACAACTAGTAGTAGTTAAGACATATAAGAGGTTTTCTGGCTTTCTAAACATACAGTGCTATCGAGTGTGTACTCTCTTGTACATCTGCATAATGTGATGTTTTTTAGATAGACGGAAGATACACTTATTTTATTCCAAATAATTTCGGTAACATATACATTTTTTGGAGTTGTCAAATGGGGTGACATGCAATAACTATATCGAATTAGTTGGATACGATGTCCGTATCTGGACAGTGAAGTTCGCATTCGTCGTTCAAAGCTGACTGAGCTTGCAGGGACCGGTTTATGTCCAAGAGGTAACCCACAGATCTACGAGCTTCCTTCTTGCATTCCTCTTTACCCAGGCATAGTTCGTAAGCTTTCGATAAGAACAAAACGTTGCACTGTCTTGTTGGGGAGAACCAGCTGTTGTTACTCTGAAATCGATAATTTTATCGAGTGATTCAAGTGATCCCTAATGAGAAAACCTTACGCATAACAGACACATTTGATGAATATTACAGGCAGCCTCAAAAACGTGTCCATAGTGACCTATAATTGAAGCTACATCATTGCAAGCACGTTGTATAGCTGGACATTGATCTAAAAAAATGTATAAAAGAACTGTTATATCTTTTTGTACAGATTTACAGTAATTTTACCTAAATTTGCGAGGTGATTCTCTATAATATCCGAAGGAGTTTTGTAGTTCTGCTCGTGACAGTCCTCAGAATTGGTGCATTTGATGTTGTTATCGCCTTCCACGTTTTCTCTACTAATATCCACGGCTTCTTTTCTAGGAACGGACAACCTTTTCTCCTCCAAAATGTAATCGTCAAAGAAACCGTCAGATTCCTTGTTCTTTTCCACTTCTTTTTTGGCTTTTTCGATTTCGATTTTGTACTCTTCTAGGGCGTTGCGCATTTTTTCGATGTTGTAAGCTTGAGCTAGGCGGGATATGATGTTGTTCTTGATTTGCTGCACCTGAAATTAGTTATATTAGTCAACTAGCGTGTATACCAGCGACTTTGTTCTCGTCTAATTAATCATTTGTAATGGTGATGATAAAGCAAAGCAAGAATTTCCATTAACATACAAACTGGATAAAATTTTCTCACATTTATGTTAGCATGAGAAAAAACAATATGGCAATATTATTATATAGCTTGGTAATATTTGAGGGGTGATTTTCATCTCTTTTGGAATTTAGACTTTCTGAAAAATCAGTTTGCCAAAAATAAGCTTTTACGTCAAGCAGTTTAAGCAGAATCGTGGTTAAGAAATTACCTAACTTTTGGAACAAAAATTAAGATTCACCTCCCTTTCAAGAAATATATTTCACATAAATAGTGCTGCCAATTTGCCAGTTAACAGAATGCTAGAGTTTTGCCAATTCCCACTGCGATTTTTAAAAAATTTCAGAATGTGTAAAAAACAAATAAATTAAGCTTGTCCAAGCGTTTTTCCGAAAAGACTAACCGTTTTTTAAATAACAAATATTATATTAATATTTGAGCGTTTTCACCCTCTTGGAATTTGAGATTCGAGAAACCCCTCCTTATCGAACCTCTACACCCCACAGTCAACCATTTTACTAAAAAAATCAGCTTTAAACGTCAAGCAGTTTAAGCAGAATCGTGATTACTCAATGGTCATATTTTATGAAAACACCCTGTATTAAATTTATAAAAATCTTAAAATATGTAAAACAACAAAATAAAATATACGTGTTTAAGAGTTTTCCGAAAAACTCACCGGTTTTTAAATAAAAATATTTTAATATTTGAGGGATAGTTTCACCCCTCTTCGAAAATTCGAGTTTCGAACCTCCTACACCCCTAAAAAAAAATCTGTTTTAAAAAATCAGCTTTTACGTCAAGCGCTTTAAGCAGGATCGTGATTAATCAATGACCAGATTTTTCAGAAACACCCTGTATACATTTTAAAAATCTTCAAAATATGTAAAAAAACAAAATAAAATATACGTGTTTAAGCGTTTTTTCGGAAACTTGACCATTTCTTCAATAAAAAATATTTTGATATTTGAGGGGTGGTTTCACCCTCTGAGAACTGGAATTTCGAAAAATCCTTCTTATCGAACCTCTACACCCCAGACTCAACCTGTATGCCAAAATTGAGCTTTTTACGTTGAGTGGTCACTTAAGGATTTTATACAGGGTTGTTCACCACATACGACACGGAATATTGTAGCTAAACGATTAGATTTTTGCAAATTGTAAGGTTTGGGTTCGTTGAAGGACTATTAGAGATACAATTTAAAAATATTTTTACAAGATACAGAGTGTGTGTTTTTTAAATGGAATACCCTGTATATTATTACATTTTCAATTTCTACGATTAAAATAAAGTTAAATTTAATTAAGGTTTATTGCACTTAAACCTTACCGTTTTTGAAATATTTTCAATTTTGTGAAATTGCAGTATAAATTTTAAGGCTTCATTTCTCCGAGGGTATCAAAGTTTTTAATATTAAATATTTACTGAAGTTTATTTATTGATCAGTTATTGTGTTGCAATAATAAAAAATTTACTCCGTTATACAGAGTGTCTAAATATTTATTTTAAATAATTATTAGCTTTAAACGGCAATAACTTGTTTAATTTAAATGGAACACCCTGTATATTTTATAAGAATCAGATGCACAATTTAATTGACTATCAAATTGTATTATACCATTTTTTAACTATCTCTTCAAGTTTCCGTAGAAAAAGCATTTTCTTGTAATTTAGAACTCATTTATTAATATACCCATGGAATACTGACATTTTAAATTATTTTTAAAGATGTACCAAATTTTTAAAGAGTTCAGATACTAATATTGTCGATATAGTTTGTTTATTTCTTTAAAAAATAAAAAAAAGTTTAAATATTTGTTAAAGAGGACCAATTAATATGATTCCAGTATTCAAACTACATTAATTGACTGTTTGCGTTGATTAATAATAATTGCTTCAAATACTAAAAAGATGAATTATGTATGTGTATTAGACAGTGTGGTAAAAAAACTAACACCTTAAAAATGTTATTTCATTTTTTGACAAATGCTTATTTATAACAACAGAGACGTTCATTTTCATAACTTATTATTATATTGATTTCTGATTCAAATCCACATTTATTTAGAATAATTTATTAACGAACACAATTAAGTATGTAATTAATTAGTATTTGGACGGAAATACTGGTGGTATATTTAATTAAATAAATATTAATTAATTATAATTTAATTAAAGGTATACACTTTTATAAAGATTTAAATAGTTTTCTTTTTGCATACAAATGGGCTAGTAATATTATCGTTTTACTAAAAACGATAATATTACTAGACTGTACATTTTGTACATTTGTTGTTTTAAAACAATCTAAAATGTCAATATTCCATGGGTATATTGATAAATGAAGTCTAAATTATAAGAAAATGCATTTTCTATGAAAACTTGAAGGAATAGGTAAAAGTGGTATAATACAATTTGATAGACAATTAAATTGTGCATCTGATTCTCATAAAATATACAAGGGGTGTTCCATTTTAGATTAAACAAGTTATTGCCGTTTAAAGCTAGTAATTATTTAAAATAAATTTTAGACACTCTGTATAAGGTAGTATAATTTTTATTAATGCAACACAATAACTGATCAATAAATAAACTTCAGTAAATATTTAGTATTAAAAAACTTTGATACCCTCGGGGAAATGAAGCCTTAAAATTTATACTGCAATTTGACAAAATTGAAAATATTTCAAAAAATGGTAGTTAATTTAAGATGTAATAAACCAAAAATATAATCAAATTTACCTTTATCTTAATCGTAGAAACTAAAAATGCTATAATATACAGGGTGTTTAAGCGTTTTTTCCGAAACTTGACCATTTTTTCAATAAAAAAATATTGTAATATTTGAGGGGTGGTTTCGCCCTCTTGGAGCTGGAATTTCGAAAAATCCCTTCTTATCGAACCTCTACACCCCAGACTCAACCTGTATGCCAAAATTGAGCTTCTTACGTTGAGTGCTTTGAGCAGAATCGTGATTAATCAGTATGTCAGTCACTTAAGGATTTTATATATTACTATAGATTACTTAAAGTAATTATCTGAAAGAGATTATTACTTCTTTGCTATCGACATCATCCTGATGTGCTCCGGTGTATTTTAGAGCATCTTCAACAATTTCGTCTTCCAGTTTCTCCAATTTCGAGTCCATTTCATTAATTTTTTGCTCTTCGGTTTTTCGGGCATTTTCTTTTTCCAAAGGCGGGTTGTCGTGGTTTCTGAACGACTGGAGTGGAAGCTCAGCATTGCGTTTCTTCGCTGTTACAGCAATCGCCTTATGATACCGCTCTGAAAGCCTATGAAAATAAAAAAGAAATAAATAGATTTACTTGTAACTTTTAATACTTTCTACTCACCATTCTTTGTCCAAACCGCTGTTTTCAGATTTCTTGCGACGATCTAAACCGAAATAGTCCGACCAGTCAATGGATTTTTTCTTGATTTGGAGTAACTTCTTGTTTTGAGGTGCGACAGGTGCATATACCTCTTTATTGATCTCTTTTTTAGGGCTGTCTTTCTTTTCGATGGTTTTGGAGGGTGTTTCTTGGTATTGCTTTGTGTTATCGGGTTTTTGTGTGGTGGAAGAGCCGGGAGTATCTTTTTCTGTAGTCTTCGGCTCCCCGTTGAAAATATTTGACAAATCTTTCTGAACCTTCGGGTCGGTCTGTTTCTTTACTGACCTTTTTTGCTCTCCATGGTTATTCACGTTGCTCCTCTTGGCTATGGCGAATCGCTTATTTTTTGCGAAAGGTCGATGAGATGGCGGATAAGGCTTGACTAGATATCGACGGTCTTTTAGATAATTCACCCAATCTTCTGGGATATCTTCTCTTGGAACATGGTGGTGGATCTGAAAGAACCCAAAAAACATATTTTTTGTTCGATTCATAAAATAAACCTTACAGAATAAATTGGCTCTTCGTCTACGTCATAGTATCTGTTCCGTTTGCGCAAACCAACGTTTTCAATGCCGTAGGTTGGATAATAATAGACTCTTTTTGCTACTTCATTTCCATAATTATTAAAGTCATTTCCATAATAACGCTCCCACAAGTCTCTCAAGTAATTCTCATCGGAAACACCTAAACAGCATAAATGAACATAGAAGTTCTATTTTTATAGCGAATATGTGGTTTTACCTGGCATTCCGCTGGTTTCTAAGTTGGTGATGAGGTTTTTGGCAAACTCCTCCATTTGTTTCTTTCTATCTTCTTCCAATCTCTCTCTAAATGACGTGGTGAGCCTCTTGTTCAATGGTTCAAACCCGTCTTCATCCAAGTAGTCTCTGTCAAACATTCTGTTGTCTACAAAAAATGAGAATCAATCACTATTCAAAAAAACGTTTGAATGTTCTCTGAAGCTTTTATCGCGTCTTGTATACCGGGTGCGACTCATTTTCTATCGAATAAAGTAACAAAATACCGAGGGTACCATAAAATAAAATAGTTATTGGGGTGAGCCACTTTTCAGACGAACCCGGTAGGTACTTAATTAACGTTTAAAATGTTATAATATCATTAATAATTACAAATAAAGCCCGGTAGAGATAAGATAACGAATATTTCTTGTAATTTTGCCCATCTGTTCTGATAATCGCTGTTATTAATGTTTATATATTTTTAGCTTAATGTTATTATACTTTTATTTTTAACAGTTATATCTTTGATGAAGTTGTTTATATAGAATAAAAAAATACCTGCTGCGTTGTTAAGAAATGCCAGATCATCAGGCTGGTCGTATGGCGAGAAATTGAACTGTTGGTCATCGTATCCGGCGAGCTCTTTCTGGCGACGATCTAGAGCTGCCAGAGCACTTTGGAGATCGCTCTGTCCCAATGCTACATCCCCGAGAAATGATAATGCGACAAAAAACATGGCCAGCAACGGGGCCATTTTTTTCTGCCGAAATCAGCCTAAACCCAAAAAAATAACGTCTTAAAATTTGACAATTCGGGCAATTCAGATCAATACATCTATACACCCCTTGAAAAAAACCTGTTGAATATTTTCCTTTCAAGAATCTTTTATATTTAAATAGTTTCGAAAGTGATTTAGCAATAACAACTTTTTATTTTAAGTTAAAGAAATTGGAAAAAAATGTCCTGATAATATTGAAATATAATTATTTGTTCAAATTAAATTAATAGCCTTAGAGATATTGTTACATTAAATTAAATATTTTTGATAGCGAATTAAGAAAACTGAACTCACCCCTTTAAAATTTCATTAAAATCTGAATGGACTGATGTGCCTGTATGGGCTGCAATGTTTCAAATAAAAATAGATGGAGTAGAGATACGCGCAGAATCCAGTGTTAATCTCCAGCCCCTAGATCGATAGCATCCAGTTCTCGTATCAATAAAAAAAGGGTATTTTATTTAAACATTTTGTTTGAATCAAAAAGTCAGTCAAAATTGGTATGCGTTCTAATTTTTTGGTCAGCAAAACTGCACCTCGGTCTGTACTTTTGGACGTTGGAGTTTTGCGGAATGGGGGGCTGATAGAAAGTGCCTGGATATCGATTTTTCCTGGCTACCCACGCATTAATATGTTGCAGTAGAAACTTAAAGGTCGTTCTAGCATAAACAAATATATCTAGCTATGAAGTAAAATATTTAAAATTAATTGATTTCAGAAGTAATTAGTTATTGGTAATAATTATACCCTAGCTATCGTGGCTTGATCAAAATTTTATCTGGTTGTTTTCTAGTTCTCCTAACTCTGACAATAAGTCAATATTTATTTAAAATAAATATTGTTCTTGATAAAACACTCAATGAAAAGTCTTTTTTAAGTATACAGTAATAAGTTTTTTTAAAGAAACCGTCGCTAGTATGTTTGGAAATATAATTTTACTTTTGTGCTTATTGTAAACCCTTGTTACAATAAGTCAGAAATATCTTATTAGAAGCAGGATAATTTGTTTTTAATTTTTGCTTAATGTTAAACAGACATGTAAGAGAATGATTATCAAGATATTAGTTTTATGTAAATGTTCAGTAAATAGTTTATAATAATCCAGTAATAGTTTGCTATATTCTGAAGGATATATACTAGACTCGTAGATGTCACTTTATGATATCGATTTTTAAATCGATATAATTACAGGTCACTGTTCTGCATTCTTTTGGCAGCTATCGATTAAATATTTTAGTATTTCGGAGAGATCATAGGAACCAGTCCCTATTTGAGAGGGTGAAAAACTTCTGAATGCGTTTATTTACGTTAGGGTTAAGGGATGATTCATAGAAACAGGGAGTAGGAAAAGTTTTTATAGGGGATTTATTTTGATTTGATCTTATATTAGATTGAAAGAAGTTTTGCGAAGTAACGACGGACGGTGAATAAAAATAAAAAACAAGTAGTTTTTCTTTTCTTAAATTTATTTACTTTTACATCGATAATCAATAATAAGTTACAACTTTTTGGAAATACCATGTATACGTAAAGTAGGAGTAATTCGTTCTCAAAAGATATAAAAATGTTTATATTGTATTTACAAACAAATATATTAAAAAATATTGATCCTTGATCAACACATAATTAGTGTTCAAAATAAAGTTGTGCTAAAAAGCAGTAAGGACGGAAGAAAACAATAATAACTATTTAAATTAAGTTACTGCAATTTTTATTTTTAAAAAAACAAAGTTTGTCTTAAACAAAACTTATAAAAAAATATTAGCTGAAAATGCTGGGTTTAGGAAAAGTTTGACCTGCTGATATAATGTGATCATTTTTTTTATCCCAATAGACTTATTATTGTACCACGTGAATAAACTAAACCCAGCATGTACTAGTTAATTTTTTTTTCAAAAGTTAATTTTGAACCCAGAATAACAAAAATTGGAAAAACAAATCCAAATTAAGCAGGAGGCGGAAGTTTTTTTAATCATTGTCAGGAGCATCACGAAGATTTCAGAGTTATTTAGTCTAAGCTAAGAGATGTGGAATTGTCAAATTCTAAATACGAGTCAGAAATTTTAATACAAACACCTAACCAATCAGTTCGTAATGCTCCTGATCGTTGCTACAGTAAATTCTAGATATTCGTAGCAGAAATATAGATGCCATTCTTTCTATTTTTACAATGATATGTTGGCATGTCATATATAACACGCTACTACAGTACGAGTAAATTTTAACACATTGCTAGTAAAATTTTTGATCCGCCAAATGATAAAAGAACTTTTATATTTAGATAGTTTATTGAAAATCTATAAAATACTTTCTGAAAGTGTTTCATGTTCTATAAGCAGTGAACTAAAGAGTCTATCACATTTATACAGGACGGGAGAAATACTCACGCCCAGTATACCAATTATTTATTAGGCCTCTTTACAATTACGCTGTTTTTATTTAAATCAGTTCGTTTTTTTTCGCAAACAAAAATTAAAGAAACTATAGCATGTCAGATACAAAAAGGCATAATTTTGACCAGTATGATTCATCGTTTTTTGTTAGAATGTTTTTAGAATATATCAACGTTGAAACAACTTTTTTAGTAATATTTACAGTTTTTCTGTAAATTTACACTTTTTCTGTAAAATATAAATTTAAACGTTTTCGGTAAATTTACACATTTTCAGTAAATTTACTGTTTTTCTGTTAATTTACACGTTTTCTGTAAGTTTACATTTTTTAAAGTAGTCCTAAGTTCACTAGGACTTACGAGTTATTTTATTTCGAAGAAAGATTTACATTCTGTGTGTAGTAAATACTACACATATAAATATTACACTAACGCAGAAATTGACAGGAAAAGTGTAAATTTACAGAAAATCGGTAAACTTACAGAAAAAGTGTAAATTTACATAAAAATTTCAATTTACAGAAAAAATGTAAATTTGTCTAAAAACATTTTTCAAAAAAAGCGCAAGTGTAAGAGGCCATATTTGGCATAGAATTGGAATTTTATACAGGATGTGTATCTTATATTTCTCATTCGAATGTGAAAGGTATATTGACTATAGTGAGTAGAGAACGACACCCTGTAAAAATCACAAAAAATACTGTGTATTCATGAAATGGGAGAGAAGAATATTTAATATTAGAAATGACCCTAATGAATGCTTTCGTCACAAACGTTATCTACTCTTTTATACACTGATATATGCTTCTATTTTAGATTGATATGGGATAATTTTCTTTTTGTAAATATATGCTTTACGATAATAATAATTTACAATATTGCTGATTTTACATCACTATATGAGCGCAGTTTTAACACAAATATTTGGCATACAGACAACGGCAGTTCCCGTTCTACCGTCACAAATAGCACAAATGATATGCTAAAAGAAATCCTTTACATGTCTCCTTACAACGCAACATTACCTGGAGTCTTTGGCTTAGCCAAAATGAATACAGTTCACCATAATATTAACAAATAACCCTGTATATAAAGAACTTATATCTCAACTTGACTAATCAATATCTGATTTCATACCTAAACAAGTAACAATACCCATTCTCGCTATAACATTTTATATACAAATAAATGTACAAAAACTCTGACTTCGCTCAACACAACGACCAATCAAAAAATCAACTATTTAATCTAAGATACGACCCAGCATTAATTAAAGTCTGTAAAATTCGAGATCCTGTGTTTCTTGTCTATATCACACTCACTTAATTCAATCACTATGCGTCTAGAATGTTCGTTTGATCGACGTGATCGGAGGATATTGTCAAGTCTTCCGCCATGTTGTCCGACTGCTGCTCGTGATCCACATCGTCGTATTCGTTTTGCATTTCACGCTTGATCATGTGATGCATCTGTTCCGGCTCCCTCACGATGTGGTGATCTTGGTTCACCATCTCTTGCTTTATATGCAGACCACCATTCATTGGAGACCTGTTAACGTATTTCTCTAATGTAAAATCCTTTGTTAGATACTACGCATCAATTTTGATGCGCAGTATGTGAAATAATTTCTAAAGCAAAGAAAATGTTAAAGTTACAATACCTTATATGATGATCGTGGGGAGGAGACTCAGATCTGTCTCTAGGCCTTCCAGGCATCATCGATGGACTAGTTAAGAAGGGTAAATTGTTTTCTTCTAACAGCGAGGCCTGTATAAACTGATTGAATCGGTTAAATCAAATTAGATTTAAATTTTAAGGAGTGTTACCTGATTAGCTGACATATGATCGCCGTACAAAGTGGGGCTGTGGTTTATTGTAGGACTCTTAGATGATCCACTCCTAAAGAAACAATTTTTTTACTATTTACGCTCTTTCAGATCATAAATTGGTTAGTAAACATCGAAAGAACAAGAAAAAAGGCGAAAAAGAGTTCAAAAAACGTACCTCTTAATGTAGAATCATTTCCGAGAGATGTTTTGTGCGAGATTATAGATAAAGTGGTAGTTATAATCTATTTATATCTAATTAAAAAAGTAAATAAAAAACTATTTTGTTCCTGTATGTAGATTACCTTATTTTCTGATGATCCGGATGCTTAGAATTCTGACTGTACCGAGATTCTTAAATTTATAAATAATTAAAATATGAAAAATAATAAAGAATAAATTTAAAAACATACAGGAACATCTAATAATGATAAAAGAATAATTTAAAATTCATGCGACATTTAGACTTCATAAAAAATAATTAAAATATAGTTTTTAAAGAATAAAAATGTTTTCTTAATAATTTTAATAGTATATAAATAATTTTACCTTTTTCATATATGTAGGTACACTTAATTCTAGTGAGAAAACAAATTTGAAATGTAACTGGTATTTGTTTTTTTCACTAGAAAAATATCTACACATGTACATTAATAGAACTAGATCACATTCATTCAAGACATATAGATGCAAGTACAATTAGCGCCCATATTGTTTAAAATTGCATATTTAAAAAACGTAATTTTCGCAGAAACAATATGAGTGTGGTACCATATGCGCTAAATTCCAAACATTCCAAAGCCGGCTCTATGTTTTGGTTCTGTATTTTTTCTAGTTTCTAAGTCGCACTAACAGCATTAAACGTGCAGCTTGTAAAAAATTGTATCCTATGATTAAAAGAAGTAGGCACACTTTCTTTAAAAAATAAACAAATAATTGATAAAAAATATCACTAATTCGTCGATAAAAACAAAATTATCAAATGACTGATCTGAACAAATTATTTATATCAAATTTTATTACGAACTTTTAATCAAAACTTAAATAACAAAAAAATAAATTAAATCAGAGTTTTATTTATCATAGTTCAGTTAGGTTTTTCTGTTGGGCCAAATTTTCGCGAACACGAAGGATTTATTTCACTATAATACAGGGTGTCCCAGAAACAAATGCAAGTATTTAAACTGGAAGTATAGTTCATCCCCAGAAACACGCCTATGAGGTTTTTTTCGCGAAAAAAAAATTTGAAAATTCGAAAAAAAAAGTTTTTTTAATTTTTAGTTAAAAAATATAATTTTTTGATAATATGGCAACATAGGTATTAGATTAAATTTGCAAGAAAGAAAATCCAAAAAAGATCCAGTGGTTCTCAACATTTTAACAAAAAATCATTTTTTTGGAAATTTTCAAAGTAAAATAACTCCGTTATTTTGGACTTATTTGAAAAACGATAAAGAGAAAATATGTTTCTTTTATCGAGATCTACCACCACTTAAAATACTTGCACTTATTTCTGGGACACACTGTATATTAATAATTTGAATGGGGAAACTATACAGCATGCAAGATTAACTATGGAATTTCAGCAGGCACTAAAGCTGTTTGTGTGGGTGTGTGTGTCTGACATCGGTACTCTACGTTTCTTTCTCGTCAAAAAGCATCTAAAAAATTGACTCATAAACTGAAACTGAAGCATAACTGTCTTCTAAGGAGTTCAAACCAATGATCTAATAGAAGGTGATATGAACATTGGCTGTAGAAACAAATTTGTCTCTTTATAAATATATTCCACTGTATATAAACATACAGAACAATATCATTTATTGTCGGAATAAAGCATTTCATAGTAATAAAGAAAAGAGAAAATATATTTCTTTACTACTCAGACTTTCTATTAAAATTTAAATGAATCTTTTAATGCCTAATTGAGCCATTCTATTAAATCGTCGGTTGAACTAAAGCGATAACATTGACTATGTGTTAAAATATGGTACATAGAAAGAACTCACTAGTCATTTCTTTGTTGTTATTATTTTTAAGCAATGTTTGTGAAGAAATGAGTAGCGAATTGAGCCAGTACTAAATGCAGCGTTTTTATTCATGACAGTGGTGACAATAGATCTTTTTCATCATTTTGGATGCCGGCTTTAATAAAAGATTCTGGTATTAATCACACCAATAAGTTTAAATTTATTGAACTCTACAAATTAGCATCATCAGCTGATGATACAAGACCAGTTTCAATCATGTACTGATTAGTGAACCGGAAATTATTAATTCCCGGTTCTTTCGGTATTTTCGGGACTCGGTAACAATAATTAAAAAATTATTTTTTTGTTACTTAAATCAAACTCTTCTAAATAAATAATGATGCTATTTTGATGCTATCTAAATAAATATTTGCTATAGCACGTTTCGGCTAACATTATAGCCTTAATCAGTGCTGTGTCATATGATTTTTTTTTCATTTTAAACCAACAAAAATAATGAAAAACCAAATGAAAACTTAATCAGCGTTTTTCCCGAACCTAAATCCCAAGAAAATCAAAAATTTTAGAATAATTTTACATATAAAATGACAGCGATCTTTATTTCATAGCCATCTCTGACGCCTTTTTTCTATGATATTGTATTATTTGCAAATATAATTTTTCGAACATTGATATCTACTTGCAAAATATACATATAAATTTTGTGAATGCAAATAATAATACATCACAATTAGTAGATATTGAATGTTTTTTTGTTAAATTAAATCGATTTTCAAACCAAAATTTAAAATATATTTTACATTTTACCCATTATCTTATGTACCTATTCATTATTTGTATATTGTAAAACATTTGCTGCATTTGTATGGTTCATAGTTTATATGCCAAAGTATTTATTACTATAAATAGGTATATAATATATTGTATTTATTAACTGTATATTATGTATATTTTATGTAAACTATATCATTTTTAAAATACAAACCAAAAACACGAGGATTAATTATGTTTTCCATGTATCCTACAACATATCTATTAATCTCGCTCCGAGGCTGTTCTATTAGAGACGGCATTGGTCTGATATTTAGAAATGCCAAAAGCTGATGACATTTGACTTTTGACAATTATGCCATTTCGTGTTGATTTTTGCAAGAAGAGGCAGAACTGTGACTTGTTTTATAATTTTCCTTTTCTATTTCACGAAAGTAAACAGAGTTACCTATCTGATTCGTTCAGTCACTCAATTTAAAGAATATCAGTAACTTTATTGACAGAGGTATTTTATATTTGCCATGTTGGTGAAAAATAACGGTCAAAATTCAAAGTTATTCATTTTATAGACTATACTGATGATGCCAATTAGGCTTTAACACTAAATGTTTTAAACTTAATTCTATTTTTTTAAAGACTTCACGTATCTTGATTGAACATAGCTGATAAGGAGAAGTTTAAAGAGAAGTATGAAGAGTTATAGTATAGTTTGGAGATGAGTTGTGATCACTGTCGTGAATGAAGGCGCTGCGAAATGAAGCAGAGCGAGCCGAGCAGACAGCAGCACACGCACGGCATGGTCACGTGTGACGTAACGCTTCAAGTTGTGGTGCTTACTGTGCACAATGGGGTGGAGTGGGTGATGGGGTGGGATCGTATTTCCGTGGTCTTCCGCGGGACAAGTGGCGACGCTTCACGAATTCGGCATCGTCCACCATCCAGAATGAGCCAAAGTCGTCCTCGTAGCGTACGAAACACTTGTGGAGGGACAGATTGGTGCGAATCGCATTCTACACACCCAGACCCAAGAAAGAAAGATAACAGTCAAGTGAAGTTAAACGCATCGGTTGGTTGGCGACCTGTTACAACTCTAAGATACCTTGTTAACTGTTTAAGAAGTGGGTGGGTTGGATTACCTGCCCCCTTTGCTCCGCTCCCCGCAGTTAGTAGCCCAAGCCTACGCTGGCGCGGCCCATGCGGTTACTGAACCGGCTAAACACACTTTCACTCTCTTCACACAAGCCATTGTTAATGAGATATAAATATAAATATAAAAAGGAGGAAAAAGAGATGTAAAAAATGTAAAAATCACAAAACACACAAAGGTACTAAAATGCACCAGTGGACCAGGGACGTACCCGACGGCAGACTGGGTGAGGGGCCCCGAGGAGCAGCGCTGCGGCCTCCGTTTGTAGAACTCCACCTCGTCCACGGTCCACACGGCCCCCTTCACGTTTTCCACGCGCATGAAACATTTGTGCAGCGACAGGTTGTGGCGAACTGCGTTCTAACAACAAATCAAACACCTCCGAATGAACAACGCGCCTAGCTCTAGTTGCAAGCTGCGTTTCTCACCACCCAAACCCAAAATAAACACTTTTGCTCTACTCAAAATCGCTCAAAAACGAATATCTTTTGGGTTTGACGGCTTTCCATAAATTAAATAACAAAATTTTAGGATTATCTGACAAGTTCATCCCAATTTCCTCAGTTTCAACAAGATTTATCTCAATTTTCAATAATAACTTTCCTAGATTGCGTCCATTCATGGATAGTAGTATTCTTGGAGATAACTTCCCAGATAATCCGATAAATAAAATAAAATTAAAAAAAGTTATGGGTTAAAAATTCGAAATAAAAACATACATAATAAAAACAAAATCATATATAAAGTAAATTAATAACGTAAATATGTAACGAAAAAGAATAATTGCATGCAAGCTAAAGCTGTTATTTCTTCTGACAGATTTCTAGATGGAATTGATATATGTACTTTACCAAAATACATATCACATTAGTTCACAGCTTCGTCACATTAGTTCACGCTCAAGAAGGAATATTTATATTAATATATAAAAATCATTATAAAATCGAAATCCTTAAGTTTAGCTCACTAGTTTATATCTTATAAATTTATCAAATGATTAAATAAGAATAAAAAACTGTCACTATACCTTCCAAGTAGCTGCATTTCTCCTAAAATAACAAAACGTATTTTGGAACCAATTGTATATTTCGTTTAACGTAAGCTGTTTATCTGGAGATTCGATGATAGACTAAAAGAAACCAACATTAACTTTTTCGAAATCATTTGATATTAATATAGTTCTCAGCGTACCTGTCGAATTAATGAGGCATAGGTAAAGGGTGGTCTAACATCAGCATTTTTGTAAAATTCTCGATTCCTTTGAATTTCTGAAAATGATTTTAGTGTTTTTACTACGAAAGCGTAGAGCTGCCATCGCAACAATGAAATATAATTTTAGCAAAATTTACACTTTTTCTGTAAATTTACAGATTTTCTGTAAATTTACACTTTTTCTGTATGTGTTAAATTTACACTTTTTCTGTAAATTTACACATTTTCTGTAAATTTACAGATTTTCTGTAAATTTACACTTTTTCTGTAGATTTACACTTTTTCTGTAAATTTACAGATTTTCTGTAAATTTACACTTTTTCTGTAAATTTACACTTTTTCTGTAAATTGCATGCGAAATTTACTACTCAGCAGAATGACGTCTCGGCATCGGAGAATGACGTCTCGGCATTATGGATGAATACATTAAAACCTACTTTCATATCGGATTAAGCCACAAAGAAATTTTGACATGTCTGCTAGAGGATGGTTATGCCCTAAGTTTACATCATTTGCAGACGACAGTTTACGTCATCCCAGAGGTGGAGGCCATCAGATCCTCTTGCAAACAGTAATGCATCGGAAAGGGTGAAAATACTTTCCGGGTCGATTAAAAGCATATTAGAAAACATATTAAACAAAAAAATGCCATACTATTATATCACACACATTCGAAATTTAATACATAATCCCTAAAATAAGAGATCACCCGATTTTCTGTACTATGTTAGACCCAGGTTCAGTATAGACGATGAGGAATAATTCTTCAAGTATTTTTGAAGAGAGTGTGGTTTCAGAACAAAATATATCTTTGCATATACTGGGATATTGCTTAATCTTTTCATATAGTCCGCATGTCTTCAATCCTTCAATTAATTGCCGCAGTGGTTCCCTAATTCTGTCTTTACTAGTAAAGACTTTTGTGAATAAACTGCCGTAGAACAGAATTCGATGGGAACTGCTCGTAGAATAACGCACCACTGTTGCCACTAACGCATAAATTACAAAAAAATACAGAAAATCTGTAAATTTACAGGAAAAGTGTAAATTTACAGAAAATCTGTAAATTTACAGAAAATCTGTAAATTTACAGAAAAAGTGTAAATTTTGCTAAAAATATTTTTCAATGTTGCGATGGCAGCTCTACGCTTTCGTATTTTACAACGGCATGTAAAGAAATTCATAAATTAATGTTAAAGAATTCGATGTCAAGTACCTTGTTGAACATCTAGTCCAGCTCTTTCAAGCATATATGGCAGACCTTTAGCAGCATGAAATTTTTTGACATATAAATGTGTCTTCAAACGTAATAAAGTGACGGTACTTACCTCCAGCTAACGATAGGGCAGATTTATCGCTAAGACGCCTCCTAATCGGGCCAGCTACGTTAGAGGCTGGAGAATGGAGCACCGGGGATCGCACAGCTGATACCATAGGTCCCAAATTTACAGGTGGAGGAGGTATAGGAGTACTGACCTGAATCTTACCAGGCGTTCCACCAACTGCATCCTTGTGAGGATCAGGCGATCCCATCTGTTTGGATAGATGCAAGTGGTGCATCATAGCTTGCAACCTGTCGCGTTCCTTTTGCAGCTGGAGTTCCAGTTGAGACACGACTTGCATTTGAACACGAGCTTGAGCGGTTGATCTATCGTCTAGGGTGTGTTCCGTATTTAAATGCCTAAGTCGAGGGAGAAATGGTAGAGATAAAATAATATAGGATTCGTTTACACAGGAAGACGACTCCAAACTATGGCAGTTTTAATTTGAAATGAACAATAACCGGAGGAATTCTATAGACGTCAAAGTCAACATTAATTTTGGTTTATATTTAGCATTTTATGAGGTGATTAATATGTAACGGAAAAGAGGGAGATTAAGTAAAACACCAAATTACAATATTTTCTCCGTTCTGGCGACAAAAGAAAAACCAACCTGGAATAAATTAGGCAAGACTGCGCGCTTTAAAAACTCTAATTATGCCATGTTTAATTAATATGCAGGGCGTTTGATTGCGGCGTTGTCGGATTTAAATGTTAATCCTCAACAGGGCCTTTATTACTTCCTTAACGCCTTTAAAGGTGAAGGGAGGGAGCAAGCCCGGCCGCTTTTTCGGCCTTCTTTTTTATTCATCTTTATCTCGCCGGTAATTCTTGGTAGTTGTTTACTATAAAAGAGAGGCGCTCGTATTTTAGGCGCGCCAAACTTCTGGCGAAGACAGTTTTATTGTTAAATTGGAAGTTTTTAATTACTTCTTTTTTCAGCTTATTATTTTGCTTCGGCAATTTTTAACCAAACAATAAGCGATCAATAAGCCATTTACTCAACACAAACACAATAAATTTTATCCCCTTAAGAGTTTATCTACATCGTAAACCTTATTCACGAAACTTTAAGAGGGGAACTCCGTTTCAAATGCACTACATCACCGTTTGGAAAACAAAGCAATTATATAATTTTATGGGGCATTTTTATATCCGTCAAGTTTTTTTTATTTCGCGGCTTTTATACTGTCGTAATTTTTCGGTAAACAGTTTCAAAAACTTTTTATCACAATGTAATATCAGACCATTTAAGTGTCAAGACAAACAATTCAAAACTGTAATGATCCCCAAACCAGATTACCATTGCATATATTCAGGGAATTATATATATTACCAACTTTAAGGCAAAATTCAAAGAACTACCCGTGTCTCTCCTCGACTCTCCCTCAAAACTATTAACATATTAAAGTAAAATGAGACATATTTTATTAGGATATAAAATTTTACATACGACAGGTAGAGTTTGGACTTCTTTAGACCTTTACTAATATTTTTTTCAACGGTAAAAATACTCGTATTTTTTTTATCAACTTTAAGACAAAATTCACGAAACTACCTGTGTCTCTCCCTGGCTCGAATCTCCCTCAAAACTGTTACCATATTAACGTAAAATGAGACATATTCTAATAGAATATAAAATTTTACATACAAATGTGGTTTGGGTTTTTTAGACCGTTGCTAATAGGGCATTCAATCCCGAAAGAAATTTTCAGTCCCGGGATTTCGGGATTATAATTTTTCGATCCCGGGACAAAATTTTATTGAACAAAAAATACATTAACATAAATTAAACGTCATCTCCATTACAAAACAACGTAACATATAAGTTTATTTAACAAAAAAAAACATAAAAGGAACTAATTATGGATTTCGACAACGAAAATACTTTTTTAAAAAATTTTATTTTTCACAAAGTATGTTTAACAGATACAATGAATACAATGGTTAAGAACAGAATGACAATTTTAATGCGCTTGGTTATATTTATAAGTTCGGTTTCGCTCGCGTCTTCGTGGGAAAACCATGCTATTTCCTCTCACATAACTCCTCCCTTCTTAAATGGAAAATGTGAGGGGTGGCGAATCATTTTCAGGATGTTCCTCTCTCGGGGTTGCTTCTTTTTCTATCTTTTTTGTAGATAGACCATGTAATCCAACAAATCATTGCGATGACCAGAATTGTAATGGCAATGCTAGCGAAACTCCATCCTACAGGGTGTATCACTTCATTAAAAAGGTTGAAGTAATTTAACTTTTTTCCTGAAGTTCAGATATTTCATGGATATTTATTGACTTAATATCGATAGGTTGATCTTCTTTTGAGTTTTCTGGTCCAACGTAGATTTTCGGTAAGGTAAAGGGCATTCCTTGAATTATTTCTTATTTATTGATGAATTGATAGCTTGATACATTTACTTCACAGTTCGGTTCGATTTCTATCAGGCTTGGATCGCTGATAAATTTATTTTCTTTTTCATCACCACACTGCTGCTGAATTTTCAATGGTTCTTCAGTAGGTATTGCGACGATATATTTGTTGTTGATTGGTTTTATAATTGGGTTCTTGATGAACGTTTTTACTGTATGGCAGGAGTGGATTTCGGCATCTTTGATTAGTGTCGATATACAGTCGTTGTTTGTTGGCTGAAGTTTATTTTGACAGATATGGATGTCTTCGATAACTGGGCATTCTTCTTCTTCATATTGTAGATGGTTCATGCCAAGTGTAAGGAAAGGTTGATTTGGTAAAATTATCGATTGATTGATGGGAATAGGGAATAGGTGAAATGTATCGAAAATCTCTTTTAACGATATTGGAAAATGAACTGCAAATATTATTTTATCCTCTGAATAACTTACTTGAAGGCCAGCTAATTGATAATACGAAATTACATTCTTAAACGTTATTATATTTTGCTCACCATATAACTTAGTTAAATACGATACTGAGTAGTACAGCTCGGATGCAGACATCACGGCGCTATGTAAGGTGTTAAGTTTCGCAAACATTAGTGCGTTTTCTATATTATCTAAAAATGTAATTAAATTTTGGCAATTTAAAATTATTTGATGTAATGTATTTTGGATATTCAAATATTGTGCAGAATTTCTAATTTGTTTTTCCAAATTTTGTATTTTATTTCTTATCATCTTTTGGTTTTCATTAAGGAGAGTTATAGAGTCGTTATAACTATTAATGAGTTGCCTTGTTAAAGATATTTGTAGAGATATTTCTTTATGCAAAGAATTTTGATTATTTGATAGTATAGAAATTGCTTTGCCATATTTTTCACCATCTTCGCTATCTAAAGTGCCAAATAACCATTTTGATGTTTTGCCTATAATATTAATTAAACCGCGCTTATTTCGGCGATGAGGCGTATTATTATTTAATTTAGTTTTGGCTGTCAGTATAAAATGTTTCGCATGCGCAAGCATGTTCGGAAAAATGAATGTAGTTTGCGGAATGTACTGAGTCATTGTGATATCTATAAATAGAGTCTTCTAAATGATTATAAAATTGTTCAATATTGGTTAGCTGGTCATAAATGGGTTGTGTTTGAACGTAATGTAAGAATGTGTGTTTGTGTTCTGTTATTCGCGTCTTGCCTAAATAAAAAGGAAGCAAAGGAGAGTTTAGAGTGGATATTATAACTTTAGAAAAGGATAGGTTAATGATTAGTGTTAGTATAGCTACATGAAGGTTGAGACAGGTCAACTTCATCTTCGTTTTGTGTGTCCTGTGAAGAAATATTAGTACTATTAAGAGGTCTCTTAATTTGGGACTTATGAATAACTTTATTTTTGTCAGTAATTATTTTGTTCTCTAAGTTTTGTCGGACGGTATGTTTCGTATGTTTGGCTTTTGTTTTACTTCTTGCTGCCATTTTATTTTTTAACATAACATTTGGATCCTGGAGAGAAAGTAGGCGGATTTTCGCGTTTCTCATTTCTCTTCGAATAGTCTTTTCTTTTTGAATTATTACTTTGTTCGGTAATTTTATTATAAAGAAGTTTTAATTTTTCTTTTCTATCGGAAATATATTGGTTAACAATAATATCGTCTGTAAGGTCGAAAGGGTCGATAGATTTTAATCGTCCGTGTATAATATCAAACGGTTTTTGTTTAGTGACACTGTGCACAGACGAATTGTAACCTAAAATTGCATATTGCATGGTTTGTTTTATAGATAAATTTTCGTCTTGAAGTTTTAATACTCTACAATTTTCTAAGAGCGATGAATGAACTCTTTCAATTGGACTATTACTGTTTGAATTACCAGGTGTTGTAAAATGAATAGAAATCTTGTGTAATTTGCAAAAGTCTATTAATAAAGAAGTTTTGAATTCTGTTCCGTTGTCACATGTAATCAATTTTGGGATACCAAAATGTGTTATAAAATTTAAAAATCCCTCGTATACTGTCGCGGCTGTACATACTGGTTCTAAAGGGTATGCCTGCGTGTATCGAGAAAATACGTCTATTATTGTTAAAAATTTGGTGTTCTGAATTTGTAAAGTGTCCATGTGGATTGATTCAAGTGGTTCAGAGGGGGTGGCTGTTAAAGAGAATTTTATTTTTGGCGGATGTCTATCGTATTTTGCCTGTTGACAAATTTCACAATTATTTATGTAATTAACAATATCCTGTTTCATGTTTGGCCAAAAATATAATTTTCTTTAAATCTAATAGTACTTCGTTAATTCCGCGATGGCACGTTTTCTCGTGGTGGTACTTAATTAATTCATTACGTCGTTCGTCTCTTGTTACATCATTTAACATGGAATTTGATATAGTTAAGTGATAAGAATGGTTCTTAAATGTTCGTTGTAATATTACGCTAATTCTTGGATTTAAATTTACATCTGATTTTTGGATAAAAAATGCAATAAGTCTTTTTAGGGTCAACGTGTTCTTTGAAGGAATTTATTATGTCGGTTTCTACGTTTTTTGATATATGTACTGTTTTTCTATTTTTATTTTCAAAAGGATTTGATCGAATTACGTAGTAGCGTTCTAAATCGTTTTGTATTATAATTATTTGATTATTGTAGAAATTTACGGGATTCTCCGTTATTGGTACATTAAGAATCGGGTCTTCCGCTGAGGAATGAACAGTCTCGTTGTCACTTACTGGTCTTGCTTCGGGTAATTCTATACCTTTATCTAGTTCAAGGGCGTGTTCTAGCTCTTCTAGTGCGTCCATAGATATTTCTGCTGAACAGTCGTCTAGATATTTTAAAATATCCTCGTCGCTATCTCCCGGGTTTCCAATAATGGACTCATTTTCTACCATATTTATCTCCACTCGAGATAGAGCATCGGCGTTAGTATTAGATTTGCCCTTCTTATATACAATTTCATATGTATATTCCTCTAATTTCAGACGCCACCTTACTAACCTCGAACTCGGTTCCTTTAAATTAAACAACCATTGGAGGGGTTTGTGGTCAGTAACTATCAGGAATTTTCTGCCGAAAAGATATGGCCTGAAATACTTCGTGGCCCAAACAATTGCCAGCAATTCCTTTTCAATCGTGCTGTAGTTTGTTTCAGCTGGATTTAGAGTGCGGGACGCGTAAGCAATAGGAAGATCGTTGCCTACCTTTCCTTGGCTTAACACTGCTCCTATGGCTATGTTGGAGGCGTCGGTGGTCAGCACAAATGGTTTCTCAAAATCTGGGTATTTCAGTATAGGATCGTTACATAAAATCTTTTTACATAGTTCGAAGGTGTCGATGAATTCTGACGTGTGTTCGATTTTTTCTCCTTTTTTCAAACATTTTGTGAAAGGTTTCGTCAGTTTTGCGAAATTTTTGATGAATCGTCTGTAATACCCTAATAACCCAAGGAAGGACTTGATTTCTTTGGCTGTTTTAGGTATTGGGAATCTCGTGATTGCCTCGATTTTCCGGGGATTCGGTTTAACGCCTTCTGGTGTTATGACATGTCCTAGGAATTCTACTTCCTTGCATAAAAATTCGGACTTGTCCAACTGCACCTTGAATTTGGCTTCTCGAAGTTTTTGGAATACAGAGCGGAGGTTTTTTATATGTTCTTCTAAAGTGGTGCTAAAAATAATGATGTCGTCCATGTATACTAGACAAACTTTATGTTGCAGGTCACGTAGTACATGGTCCATAACTCGCTGAAAAGTTGCGGGGGCGTTTTTGAGCCCGAACGGCATTCTCAAGTACTCATAATGCCCGTTCTCTACATTAAACGCAGTTTTTTCAATGGAGTTAGGGTGCATCTCAATTTGATGGAACCCTGATGCCAGGTCTAGCGTTGAGAAATATTGGCAACGTCCAAGTTTGTCTAAGATATCGTTGATATTCGGCAACGGATATCGATCGTCTATGGTCTTCTCATTGATTTTCCGATAGTCAACGACTATTCTCCACTTTTGTCTTCCGCTCGCGTCGAGTTTCTTTGGAACAATCCAAATAGGGCTGCTCCATGGACTTTGACTCGGTCTTATGATGCCATCTTCTAACATTTTATTTATTTGCTTCTGTACTTCTTGCTTATGAACAAAAGGATAACGATATGTTTTTGAGTGAGCCGGAATTTCGTCGGAAGTTTTTATTTCATGTTTAATTTTATTGGTGAAAGTTAGTTTTTGATTTTCTTCATGGAATATATCGGAAAAATCCTTACAAAGTGATGTTAACAATTGCTTTTCTTCGGTATTTAAATGTTCAGTTCGAATTAAATTTGCAATATTTAAATTCTTATTTAATTCAGATTTTGGCAAAAATGTTTCGATATTAAAAAATTCAAAGTTCTCTTTCCGCGAATCGGGGAATGGTATCACTTTCACAGGTTCTGAAAATGATATCATCAGATGTTCGTTAGTTCTATTGAAAACTTCAGTTTTCGCATAGCCTCGAACAGCTGTTGTCAATGTTTCAGGGAAATGCAGGTGGTTGATATATGACTCCGGAATTATTATGTCACCTTCGTAGACGTTCACGGGAATTTTCACAGATGCGATCTCATAGCTATTGACCGATACATCGTGAGAAATATTTTCCGTTTTATTAAAATGTAATGGAATTTTAAGAATGTCATTTACTAGGAAATTATTTTTTAAATCAATAAAAAGTTTTAATTTTTTCAATTGATCTAAACCCAAAATTCCATCAAAAAATGAATGAAAATCGAAAAGTGTAAATGTAATTGTCTCGTTAATTTTTAATTCTGAAAAGGCAGGTATATTCGCTTTAAATCGAACCAATTTTTCTCCAATACCTGTCTTAATCAGGGTTTCCTGTTGGAAAATTTCATTAGGAAAATATTTTTCAGCAATTATGGGTCTTAATATTGATTGAGAGCAACCAGTATCAATAAGTAATTTTATTGGTGGATTATTGATTTTAATATATGGTAAATTACTATTGATTTCGGTATGCATTTCAGTTAAAGTTATGTTTGGTTCTGGCTTGGGCCAGGATCTTGAAAATTTCCGGTGTTTTCGTCATAAGAATTATCAAAGGTTTCAAAATTTTGATTATTTTGTGAGCCATCATCGGTATAAAATTGTTCGTAATTATCAGTTTCGTATTGTTCTATGTTGTCGGTCTCATCAAAGGGTAAATCAGTTGGGTTATCGATGTTCGATTGATTATCGATTTGAACAACTCCTGCGAAATAAAATTTCGCGGACCTGTAGGTTTAAAGAAATTAGAAACTGGGCGTCTAAGGCTTGGGATTCGAGACGTGGTCGACATAGGTTCCACTTTATCTAAAGGTTTCTGACCCGTGGGTTTGAATACATCTTTTGGAGGGCCAAATACTTGTCTGTTGGTCGGGTAATGTCTAGGCACATATTGTGTCTGAATGTTTATGGGTTGAGAAGGAAAATTCGGGGTCCTTGATTTAAAAATTGACTGGGGATTTGATTACGGTTCTGGTTTTGAGGTGGGGGAATCTTGGAGACTGGTTTTGGAAATTTGTCGGATAATTATATTGTGGATTAGATTGATTAGACTGATGAGCTCTTTGTGTGAAATATGGATGAGGTGTGGTTGGTATGGGTGTGTGTGGTTTTATGTTATTAAAAGTGGACTGGGGTTGTTTAAATAAATTTTAGAGTGTACTGAAAATTTTCTTCTTCGGTTATGATTGTGAGAGCACTTTGAGATTTTCGGGGCTTCTTAGTCGTGTTATGCTTTGTAAAGGTCCAGGAGGTTACGAATAAAAGTTCTTAGGGCTATTTGCTCGTATTGCTTTTGATAAATTGTTTTGGTCGAAATCGGCATTTCAGTCAGAGGAAGACTGTTTAATTTTTGAGCTAATTGACTACGTAATATTTGCAATCTCTTAGCAAAATCCAAAGATGTTTCTCCTTTATTTGGCTTAGCCATAAAAAGATCTTGTTCTAAACATTCTAAGCTTCTATTGTCGCCAAAACAGGCTTGCAATGCATCTTTGATTTTTTGCCAAGTATCTAGTTCTGATCGGCAACCTACTAATAGTTGAGCTCTACCGACTAACTTAGTTTGTATTACTCTAATTAAATAATTTATCATAATCGCCTCTCTAGAATTACCAAAAGTTGTAAAGAGAAAGTCGCATGCAGAAATAAAACTGTGTAAGGTAATAGAATTTCCGTCAAAATTAGGAATAATGTCTACATACATTTTAAGCATTTGCAGATTATTTTGTGTTTGAGCTTGGCTTTGATTTTCCATCTTATTTGATTTTAAAACTAGTTTATTAGAAAATTCGTTTGTCAAATCGTCAATATTCATAAAAGAATAAAAATTAAAATAAAATAAAATAGAGAAATTACGATAGCAAAATATAATATAGGTAAAATATGTATTCGTTTATTTAAATAACTAAAAATAAAAATCGTTTTTGTTTTCTTAAATAGCTAAATTAACCTTAACTTAAAATAAAAGAGATTTCCTAAACAGGGAAAGTAAAAGAAATTGACAAAAAGGACTTGGCACTTACCGACTCAACGGGGTGACAAAACCAATTTGGACTCTGCTCTGGTATTCGGCTTTCGATGTCTCACTCCTTACACTACTGAAAATCGGACTCGATGCCGTGGCTTTCCAGAAGTGTTCGTTCGGATCGGCACTATGATTAAATCCGCGTTTTCGCGATAATCAATTCAATGATTTTTGTTGCGACAAACTGCACCAATCCTACCGACTGCGCCAATTATGGATTTCGACAACGAAAATACTTTTTTAAAAAATTTTATTTTTCACAAAGTATGTTTAACAGATACAATGAATACAATGGTTAAGAACAGAATGACAATTTTAATGCGCTTGGTTATATTTATAAGTTCGGTTTCGCTCGCGTCTTCGTGGGAAAACCATGCTATTTCCTCTCACATAACTAACTAAAATATACATTTTTTATTTAATTTACACAACCAATCGAATACAGCATAACACAGGATTACTATACTAAAATAACAACTTATGCAGTAACAAAGATGAGGATCTAAACTTGGTTTTTTTGGTTTTTGAAAAAATTTCTTAAAATAAACAAGCCTCAAGATCAAGAGTATTATCACTCAAACTAGATCTTCATCATCTTCAAACTTGATCAAACATTCAGGGTTGTTTATAAGCGCATATTGTACTATCATGAAAGACTTGTGTACGATTTAAATTAAGGAAAAAATGTTATGATGAATCCCAAAAATCCCGGGATTAAAGAAAAGACAATCCCGGGATTTCGGGATTGAAAAAATGTCCGGGATCTCGGGAAACGGGATCCCGGGATTGAATGCCCTAGTTGCTAAGTAGTATTTTTTTAAGGATGAAAAGACTGATTCTGTTTTACCAACTATAATCAATAATATGGGTCTTACTTGACAAATGCTTGAAGGTCCTCGCAAATTGTTTCACATCCAGGCCATTTGCAGACACCATGACCGTAAAGATGGTGGTGCACCCTATCAGGAGTCGTTGTCCTTACTGGTTTATCTTCGATCAGTGAGTCTTCCCTGCCTGATCGGCTTTGCATACTTAGCAATCCTGGGGAATTATCTATAAAACATATTTACGTTCATATTTACATAGGAGTTGAATAATTAATAATTTTTTTCATTTCGCCAAGCAGAATTTTACGTAACATTTTCCGGTGGAGTTTATTTTTAAAGTAAATTGTTACGATGAATCTTGATTTATAAGTTTTAACTTGTTAATAAATTCGGTTCGAATGAAATTTCATTGGCGTGATTCATCTGAGCGTATCTGCGATGTCGATATTTTTCCTATGGGCGCGAAAAGTTTATTTTTTCGCGTGGTAAAATAAACCAATTTGCGTGTAATGACACATTTTTCATTCCCGACTTACTGAACTCCGCCAAATATGTTTTACTAACAATAAGCTGCAAATTTAATTATAAACGCTAATCTAAACACGAGCGATAAACAAATAATCTAGCCGGAATAAAATTTCAAAAATGTCGGCTAGTGTTTGTTGCTGGCGTACTAAAGCTTTATAAATAACTATTAACCGTTAAACATTACATTGTTTACGGGGCCGATTTGCTTATTTTTCGTTAAATTCAAAATAGCGGTCGTGATGATTTTTCTCCAGATATATACGATGACCTAAATACACCAGAAGTTTTTTGAAAAAATAAGCAAACGTTTTTTTTTCGAAATCCAGTTCAATAACTTTATAATATTACATGATAGGAGTATTTGGGCCGAAAACTAAATACTTCAAACCAATGAGCACCTACCCTAGCATCCCTCAGGCAGAAAGCTTAGGAACTATCCAAAACAGGAAATATCCATCTTATCCGATAGTCAAGAAGCACCTAAAGTGATCAACTCAATTATCATCAATTCGAAGTTGGTCAAAGAATGCCTAGAGAACCTGAACAAATTAGGAAAATAAAATAAAGTCCTCCCACTCTGGCTCACCAAAAGATAGAAGGCCATGAAAAAGCAAATGATCTAGCTAGAAAAGGAGCGAACACTCCACTAACTGGACCAGAATCGGTCGTGCTTTCCAAGTGGAAACGAACTTAAAGTGGAACTCAAGAACCTGGAAGACTCCATCCGTAACCTGGAATGGGAATCCTCCAACGGTCTAAGAGACTCGAAAAAATTTCTCAGAACTTACGACCGAAAAAAATCAAAGATTTTCCTTGATTTAAGTAAAAACTATCTTTGGGTTGTCACGGGGTTCCGAACAGGACACTGTCTCCTCAACGAACATCTCAGTAGATTGAAGCTGTGAATCAATGGCGAATGCAGACGCTGTGGGGAAAATGCAGAAAGACCAGGACACCTCATCCCTGAGTGCGATGAGACGACAACTGTTCATGCCATCATAAACTTTGGTACGACTGATGTCGGAGATGAAGAGCGGGTCTCTGTCGAGCAGTCTCAGACATTACTCAGACTCTAAACATTCTACATTCTACGTTAGAAAATATTTTTACTCACCATTAATTTCCGAAGGGGGCTTATTATTTAAGGTGTGCTGTTGATCATTTAGCTCCTTCCAAGGACTCATGACATCTCGTGTGTTCAATCCTAACATAGAAAAATATTTGATAATGTGATTTTTAGCAAAACGCTGTTTGAATTGAGGGCGTCATAGTCACGTGCGCTTAAAACCGGTCAGTGTGAATGATATTTCCAGCTTTTAGGGAGGCGAAGGATTGATTGGGGTCAAAAAGGAGATGGAGGGAATGGGCAAGTGCCTTGTCAGTGCCGACTCGTGCCAAAAACTCTGCTTTAAAAACTCAATTCGACGAGTCGCCTCTGGCTTGAGTTTTAACCGCACGTGATTGCTGCCCCTTCCCCTCAAATATACCGTAGAAAGTTGCGGCGTTTCGCCTATAATATTAAATTTGGCATTGCCCATTTCGGGTGTAGTGGACAAAAGGAATGTGAAATACCTACCCAAAAGCTGGAAATGTATCTTCCTGACTGCCCCTGCTCTTCAATAAAGCTCTTCATGTTGACATTTCGAATATTTATATATATATTTTCTTAAATTTGACTACCAAGCTCAAGCTTATATTTTTATCGCATTTAAGAAGAAAATACTTTCAGTAATTCAATGAGTTCATCAAACAAGATCGTTACTTATTATAATAATATTTAAATAAGAAAATTAAATATGTAGCTTCCTTCAAGAAGTTTCTTGGTTCTTATTCTTCATATTTCTAAAGTTTTCGCACGCGAAGAGTTCGAAAAATGTTCCTTGTAGGTCGAGAATTACCTTGTCCTTGGGCTATCATCAAAGGCTGCATTCCCATACCTTGATGGACCACATATTGCCTCTGAATCAGTTGTAGCTGCTGTATGAGTTGCTGTTGCTGCAAGGCTAATTGCTGAAGAGATCCCGAAGCCTTCTTCTTGTCCGAACTTTGAAGGATATGTGTCTGTTGTATGAGATTCAGTTGCAGCTGCTCGTGAAGCTGCTGAATGGTTTGCTCGATTTGCTTTTTGCCTAATTCAGCTAACTGATGATGCTGAAATTCAGAAAAATGTAAAGAAAAACGTTTAATGAAGAGTATTTGATTTGTATACCTGATGTTGTTGTTGCTGCTGTTGCAAAATGGAGTGTTGCTTCATCAAATTTTGTAACTGAGTAGGACTCAGGACGTGCTGTTGCAACAGCTGTTGCATGTGGTGCAGGTTCGAAGCAGGAGACGGCATCATTTGCGGACCAGCAGCTTGAGACTGATTGTAAGGGGAGAAATCATTGGCTAGTTTGGATTCAGTCTGGAAATTAATATTTTTTAGTTATGCTTTTCCTTTAGATGTGCAATGTACACTCAGATGCAAAAAAAAACGCAACGGAAATTTTTTTGGCTAATTTGTGTTATATTTTTATAACTTTTAGCCCTATTTTCATGAATTTTTTAGCAAGCTGTGCATAATTATATCAACTGTAATTCGTAAACTAAGTTTTTTGGCATATTATACAGGGATAATCGAAAGGTTGTCTTTTACCTTATGTTTAAAACATCCTGTACAATAATTTCGTGTGTGAATTTTCCTAAAATATAGTTTTACGGTCAGAAAAAAATTACTGCTTAGTATTTTGTTTTTTGATTTATGTCAATAATATGCTTTTAATTTTAAAGAGCGAAATGAACTGATTACAATCAATTTGCATTTTTTCTTTTTTCATTACTTTTTGATGTAATTTTTTAATATGACGAGATGGTTTTGGTGACTATTGTCATAACGTCATATTACGCTGCATAGGATACTCTATACTAAAATAAAAAGAAACGTTAAAGACCAAAGATACAGTCCTGGTTTTAATAAACATTAATAACGATAACAGAACTAACGGTATTAAAGAAAATATCTGTAATAATCAAGTATACAAACAGAAAAAAAATTGTAAAAAATACCCTAATACATTGTATTGCCTCCCTTGGCTGTTATCACTGCCTGTTCATACTGTTATTGAGGCTGCATATATCATATTGCGATGTATTTTCCCATTATTATTTAAGGACCAAGTGAAATTCATTTAAATAAGCTGGTAGCGCTTCGCGACCTCTAACCCTCCTGCTAAGCATTTCCCAAACCTCTAACATGATGAACAGTTCATAATGGTATATAGTCCACAATAATCTTCAAAGCCGCCTTGTCATTTTGAAAAACATGATGTAATTATATACAGCCTGCTAAAAAATCATGAAAATAGGTCTAAACATAACAAAAATATAATACTTTAAATTTAACCAAAAATATCTCCGTTTTGATTGTATTAAACTGACTTGTGAAATTGGAGGAATGGTAGCACTGAGAGCTTTTTGCGGGTCTGAATTGGGTATAGGGGAGTCGTCTTGGACCCGATGTTCCGAATTCGGCGGACTGATACTTCCATTTCCTTTTAAATCCCGGTCGTTGCGGTCTTGGTCCCAACTACTTCTTTCGAGATCTAGTTGTTGATGTTGCTGCTGATCCTTCAGCACTTTTTCTAACGACGCCGCCTGCTGGAAAGAAAAAGAAAACACGTTTAAATCTAACCTTAATTGACTTTCTCGTTCGATAAATGACCGGGGGTTATGTTTGGATATCGAAATTGGACTTATGGAAGGGTAAGACTGGTCACTCTTAAACCAACAAGCTTAAGACAGCGCCAGCGTGTCGATGGAAACGGGGCTAGATTCCATAATCCATCCTTAGACAAACACCTTCGAGGATAATTTAATTTCTTTTTTCGATCCACCCACCCCTAGGTGAGCTAAAGCGGCTCAATTAGAAATATAAACAGCGGTTTGCTTCAAAATGTGTTTAGATTGTAAACAGCCGAATCATATAAATTATTCTCGCGTGTGCATTCCCTGTTTAGAGCCGGCAAAACCATTTCTCTACCATTTAAAACGGCAATGTAGCATTTTGTGGTAATTTATACAGTGGAACTTATGCAAAATATTGTTGCTCCATTGATATACATTGAATTTCCTCTATAGACGTTATTATTACTGACAAAGCATGTGGTTTTCCATTTTCCAATTAGAGAAGAATATTTAATATAAATATATAAAAAGTGGAAAAAATAAAAACGAATATTTTATGTGTTAGGTGGGCCATATAACGGAACTTTATGCCAGTGATGGCCCTTTAAAGCGAGGCAAATGACGTTGAAACAACGGTGAAATTCATTGATATTCTCATGTTGGCGTCTTAAAAAACTTGACGCCCCTTCGCGCTAGAGTGTTTGACTCGGGCGGGGCATATTTCATATGCAGAAGAGCTGTTTTGCTTGCCAGGGCAATATTATTTCCATATTTTTCACATAATGCCGTAGTGTATATGGGTTTTATTTCATGTGACATCATGGTAATGCATTTTAACATCTTATCATTCATTGCGGCTTCTTCGCAACTCTTTAAAAAGGCGCACTTTCGCGTGCCCACCGCAAATATAATTTGTTTTATGGAGGGTGAGGGGTCGATTTCCTGCTTATACAGGGCAAATTTATAGTTTCCACCCTAACAATAACTAAATCAAATATTCAAATGTATAATTTTAAGTTTACCTACTATGATTTTTTTCGAATTTTTTTGACTTATTGTAATGGATTATTGTATATATCCATATGTCTGCATCCAAAGTTATCATAAACCAGTCCGAAGAGCGGCTGTATCTGCTTAAAAGCGAGTAAATATTTTTCTTTTTCAAACCTTTCGAAATTTGATTTCGCAATAAAAACAGCGGCGTAATTTTCAACATCTTTTAGCCCTTTTGTCAAAATATAAAAATGTAAATTTCGAATCTACTACAAATTTTCGAATCGCCAACTTGTGCATATTTATTAAATCGGGCCACTGGAAAGGGTCCAGAACGAAATATGTTTATTCAAAAGAGAGGATACTTTTGGCAAATTTAAATTAAAATTTGGCCAGAGCCGCCAACGTGTATATTTTTCATTTAGGGGCTCCTGGACGTCGAAATGCAAAAATATTCTTTTCTGGGCTCTTTATTAGAAAGAGTTAAATACTAGGAGGCGAGGGTGGGCGGCAAAAAGGGGTAAAGAGGGAGGGGGTGCCTGAAATACCGCGCCGCGCGACGGTCTTTTTAATTATCGAATTAATTAATTTTTTGACCGGATTTCTAGGCAGCTCGTTTTGGGTGAAATGAATTTTTCATTGGTTTTCGATCAGAAAAAACATTCGATAATTTAAAAAATAAAAATATATTGATGCAAAAATCGTTTAAAAAAAGATCTGTTTGCTTTTTATGAAGATAATTATACACTGAATGGCACGTGTACCACGAGCCGAAGAAGTATAATGATGGATTACAATAAGACTAATCTCATCAAAAACTATTAAAATATATTTACCTATTTTCTGCCATTACTCGATGGCGAGTATCTGACACGCATCAGAAGATGATTACGCAAGGCATTTTCTTTCATGAGCTTTTCCTGTGACTGAAAAGTCATGATTGTAGAAACCCCTGTCTTTTAATTTCCAGAATGCTCTTGAGGCGCTGCTAATTCTACGCTGAATATCAGAGTAGATATTGGCCTTTTCCGAAATCAAACTGCCGAGGTAATTGAAATGTTCTTATTATATTTAAATTTTGATATTTTAAGTATGATTTTGTGAGGATTGATCTTACATCAACCCAACTCATACTTCTTCAGATTCACCGCTTCCGGTATTCTATACCTATAATAAAAAGTAAAGTTTCTTTGGATTCGAAAAATATTGGCAAGTGAAAAAAAAAATGAAAAACAAATCGTCAGAAGAACCGTTTAAGAAAAACAAAACAGGAAAACAGCGATCCGTTGAGTTGTGAAAAACGGAAAAATTTCCAAGTTATATTTTGCCCCCGCGAACTTTTCGCAAACGGCCGAAAATTTATATCTCCTCGCGCGTGTTTGTCTTTGTCTTTTATTTTGTTTTTTGGCGAAGTTTTTCTTTTGGAATCGGAATTATTCAAATTCATGTAGATTTCCCGCCACTGTACCGACGGGAAATTCATGTTTTCATAGTGGGAAACGTTAGATCGGTCGAAACAGACGTGGGAGCGGGGAAAAACACCAAAAGACCAGCCTGCAAAAATATTTCATGCGAAGCTAAAAGCTAAAAACAAGTCGATCCTTAAATACTGCATCATTTTCCTGAAAATAATTAACAATGATTTTAAAAAAAAGTTACCAATAAAACTGTACTAATCTTAAGATGTGGATGACATAATGTCCATCAGCAGTATACCATGAGCCGAAGAAGAATGACATTGTGTTATAATAAAGACTATTTTCAACAGAAACTATTAAAAACATAGTAATCTAACTATAACTGGAATATTTTAATTGTATAATAAGCGGAATACCGTCAAACTTAGAACTGGATGGCATGTGTCCATCAGCAGTTTACCATTAGCTGAAGAAGTATTATGTTGGATTACAGTAAGACTATTCTCATCAAAAACTATTAAAAATATGGTAATTTAACTATAACTGAATTATTTTAATTGTATAATAAGCGGAATACTGTCAAACTTAGAACTGGATGGCATGTGTCCATCAGCAGTTTAATAATAAGCGGAATACCGTCAAACTTAGAACTGGATGGCTTGTGTCCATCAGCAGTTTACCATTAGCTGAAGAAGTATTATGTTGGATTACAGTAAGACTATTCTCATCAAAAACTATTAAAAATATAGTAATTTAACTATAACTGAATTATTTTAATTGTATAATAAGCGGAATACCGTCAAACTTAGAACTGGATGGCTTGTGTCCATCAGCAGTTTACCATTAGCTGAAGAAGTATTATGTTGGATTACAGTAAGACTATTCTCATCAAAAACTATTAAAAATATGGTAATTTAACTATAACTGAATTATTTTAATTGTATAATAAGCGGAATACTGTCAAACTTAGAACTGGATGGCATGTGTCCATCAGCAGTTTACCATTAGCTGAAGAAGTATGATGTTGGATTACAGCAAGACTATTCTCATCAAAAACTATTAAAAATATAGTAATTTAACTATAACTGAATTATTTTAATTGTATAATAAGCGGAATACAGTCAAACTTAGAACTGGATGGCTTGTGTCCATCAGCAGTTTACCATTAGCCGAAGAAGTATGATTTTGGATTACAGCAATACTATTCTCATCAAAAACTATTAAAAATATAGTACCGTAACTATAACTGAATTATTTTAATTGTATAATAAGCGGAATACCGTCAAACTTAGAACTGGATGGCTTGTGTCCATCAGCAGTTTACCATTAGCTTAAGAAGTATGATGTTGGATTACAGTAAGATTATTCTCATCAAAAACTATTAAAAACGTCATAATTTAACTATAACTGATATACTTTAACTGTATAATAAGCAAAATGGTGACAAAGAATGAACTGGATGGCATGTGTCCATCAGGAGTGTACCATAAGCTGAAGAAGTATTTTGGGTTAAAGTAAGACTATTCTCATCAAAAATTCTTAAATGCACAGTATTTAGTAAGTCTGTTCTAACGAAATCATATACATAATATCAAAATCTAACCGTAACAAGTAAAAAATTGAACAAAGTAAATAAAGAAAGAGAATACTTGGAATATTTTATGAAAAGAGGGTCTATAAATATTTGCCCTTAATTTACGTGATATATTATTTTGAAACTTAATTACATTAGCGAAATGAAAACTCAACAAAGCATTAAGAGCCGTATATTGATTAGCAGAGATCTAATTAAAAATTGCGGGGAGAACTTTTTCTTGTCACTCCATAAAACTAATAAGAGATAAGAGAGCGGCTGGGTTATTTGGTGATCGGAAATGTTCGTTATCCCCCGCAGAATTCGAAATCCCCAGCACCCCGGCAACAATATACTCTTGGCCGGTTGGCTCACTGTCAATTACACAGTGTCTTTTTTATTTTCCACTTTCGGGCGCTTTTTCCATTAGAACCTTTATTAGACTTTTATTTATTCTCTCGCCGGGGCCGCTGGATGCGATCCAGCCACTGGATTCGATCTGTCTAATCTTAAAACACGATCTACTTATTACAATCAGTCTGTATTTTAAACCTGATTTATTTGCCCTTACTTTTTACCGAGCTGCTCTATATATATTTATCTTCTTCTTTCTCATTTTCTAAACCAAAATAATTATCTTTCCTCAGTTTTAAGATAATATAATATAATATGCAACAAATATACAAAATTTATAAATAAATATAATAAAAAAATAAAAAAAATAATAATAGCAAAAACTAAAGTAATGTACAATGAACTAGTAGACAGAAAAGTCACACTGGAACACTGGAAATCGCAAAAGAATAATTATATATTTGGGACAACTAAAACACAACTCGGCATCTCTACTCCCAGAAATCAATCGAAAAATTAAGTTAGCATGGAGTATATTATATATTATTGTATATTTTTAAATGGAATGCTATATATATATATATATATATATATATATATATATATATATATATATATATATATATATATATATA